CAGAAGAGTTGATCTTTCCACCAAACCCATACAGTTGATACAGCTCTGCGGCAACCTAGAAGCCTTTTTCCAGACTATGACTCCAAGAATTTTTCCACAACTGTGTCAACAACCAGAACAGCAACATACAAGTTGTGCCCCACATTCCAAAACAGGAGGAGGAAATGTCCTAACAACATGAGGACGAATTATGTACTAACCCACATCCACCCTCCTTTCAGCACCTCTACGTGGACTCCTAGAGAAGGTTGAAACAAATCTGCGAGCTTTTATATTGAGTGCTGTCAGCACCATGCCTGAGCTGAGGCAATCAACAAGTAACATGACTTACCTATAACCTCATCTGAACAGAGTGTGATGCTATGCACAGCCTCAGAAACAATCTCAACATAGTCATCAAAGAAGCAGATAAGTGCAGTGCAGTGGTTGTCATGGTCAAATCAAGCTACACACAAGAAGCTGATATACAATTGTCCAATTCTAGATTTTACCAGCACCTAACCACACAGATCCAACCACCAAATATAAAAAGAAATTACAAAACTTTATGAAAAACTTCCCTGAAAACATATGTGAGCATATCCTGGCTAAAACACCATCAGAACTTCAACCAACCACCTACTGCATAAAATACACAAACCAGGATACCCTGAAAGACCCATTGTATCAAACATCAATACCATGTCAATTGGGCATCTGGATATTTGGACTCCATCTTCAAACCATATGCCACCAATGCACCGAGCTATGTAAGAGATATCACAGACTTTCTAAGGAAACTGCAATCCACACACAACCTCCCAGATGACACCATCCTAGCTACAATGAATGCAGAAACACTCTACACTGACACCCCACTAACAGAGATGGAGTGTGGGCTATTACAAATACCATTCAAAACAAGGAAGCACACAAAATCACCACCCTCTGTGACTTTGTACTCATACACAACTGTTCCACCTTTGACAAGGTGAAACAGTTGTGATACATGATAGATATTTGCTATATTATCTCTCTTTCTTGTGTTTGAGGAAGTGGACTTGTCCATGAAAGAGCACCTTAAAATATAAAAGATTTTAATGTGCCACCATGTTTTTGTCTTTTTTATTTGTTCTCTTCTTTTTATCTATAATCCTATAGAGGTCTACTCAGAAGTTGGTCCTGAAAAGGTTTTGGTTAAATGGGCTTGGATTGCAGCCTTAGGCTGCGATTCTGCACATGCTTGTCTTGAGCACGATGAGTTTTGCTTCTGAATGAACAACCATAAAAGCAGACTTCATGTGTGTTTACATCTCAGACTTATTCATATTTACTTTGAAGGATGTCCCAGTAAATTCGGGGGAATTTATTCCCTTTGTGGATATGGGATTACAGATTTGTGCCGCAAATCTGTGAGTGATATACAAACTCCAGGAGGGAGGGTAGGTTAAACATTATTTCCCTGTTGTTCCCTCCCCATTATCTCAAAAATATTGTGAAATGACTATGTCATGTGCTTTAGTGTACATCATATAAGACTAACCAGGAGAAAATGTGAACAACTATAGATGATTAGCACAATGTCAGAGGAAGTTCCTTTGTATAAATCCTGCTGAGAGGACAACAGATGTGCAAGAGCATGTTTGTTCCCTGTCCTCCATCACTACCACTCATTTAAACATTACTTTCACAACAGAAACATCCCTGAATTATCCCAAAAGCACTTTAGCAAAAACTCACAGCTGATTTTCTGACATTATTGGCCATCAAGGCACAACCAGCAAATTTAGCAGACAGATGTGGGATTCTGGTAGATATCTCATAGGAAAGTTTACCTTGCAGCTAAGCTAAATGAGACATGAGAAACCATATGATTTTCTTCTGATTGTTTTAAAAACAAAACAAAACCTAAAATGCAGGCAAGGATGAATATGAATCTAACTGAAGAGACACACAGAGAGAGAGACACACACACAGAGAGATACACACACAGACACACACACTTATTTTTGTCCTGGTTGGCCTTCACCATGCAGTTGCAGTGAAAGGAACAAATTTACGCGGAAACTGACACACACACACAGACACACACACTTACTTTTGTCCTGGTTGGCCTTCATCATGCAGCTGCAGTGAAAGGAACAAATTTATTAGGAAACTGATAGAATGACCCTCACTGTCATAATTATTTTATATACTGTAAATATGTGTCCTGGCCAGAAGGTGAATGGCATATACATTATAGATATGGATAATTAAAATGATCAGTGAGTTACAGCTGCTTCTCTACAATGAAGAGGTGAAAGATGCAAGAATTTTTTCTGTGTTTAAAATGGCTCTTGAGGTGCATGATAGAATCTTATTATAACATTGTGCATGGTGCAAAGAGTTTGACACTCTCCTTAAATGTCAGAATTACCAATAAAACTGACTGATTTATTGGAGCAAAAAGCTAAGATCCTATTGCTGATTTACATTATTTTGAGGAAAATCATATGGATCCTGGAAGCAAATTACTGCTCATTAACAAGGTACTTGTCAATAAGCAGAGGGTTGCCACCAAGATTTTTGTGATTTTCCTTGAGCAAGTGCAAATTGGCGATAAAATTCTGCCTAAAAAGTATTTTTTTTCCTCTCTTTTTTTTGTTCCACTGCTACTGACAGTCATATAGCAGCCCACCTATTATGACTGCCTGTGGCAACTCTAAATGATGATGTTGTATTGCACCCAAACCTTTCCATAAATGTATTCAGCCAACAAGGTCCCTTCCTTCCCACTGTATTTTTCCCTTTATTTTAATTTGAAGGATCAACTGTAACAATCTGCAACTTTTGTTTCTCATTATGTGGCCAAAGAAGTCTAAGTTACCGCATTTAAAGTATTTGTGATTTTCTCATCTTTATTTCTTTCTTTTAGTTCCTCACCATTGGTCTCATGACAATTATTTTAAGAAAATTGAGTCCTGTACTGGGGATCATGTAAAATGTTTTGTACTTTCAGGGGCTTGAGCTGCATTTGATCAATTTAATTTCAAACCTTTTTTCTGGAAGACAGAAATTCTGTGTGAGTACAAAGTTTAGCTCTAAAAATTTCCTTCAGTGATTTATAGCTACATTGCTAGGAATGGCTTTGGCACAAGAATACAGAGACTTAAAGATAGAATTACTTGTACAAAAATATCTATCTATATAGACTGTTCCTGTGTCTATAAGTCGTACAGTAAAAAAATAAAGTACATATCTGTAAAAGTCAACAGTTTCAAAACCAAACCCTGGATGCAGTGATCTTTGACCTGCATGCATAGTCTAGCCAGCAACTTTGCTGATAACACCTGGTGTCACTGTTCCTCATCTCAGTCAACTGATTCACTTTATTCCCTCGGTTTCTGAAAATCATTTCTTGACCTGAGTTATAATGATTATCTGTCAGAATCCGCAGTCACTGTGTTAGCTTATTAGTCATTGTTTAGCCTGTTCACACACAAAGTTCTGAACTTTTCCACAGATATTCCAGCAGGGAGGATATGTAAACTTTATTGCAGTAGTATACTGAAAAATATTTGTGTTTTCAAGAGAAGCTTACAATTAGACTATTATTATCACTTCATTTATCTCCAGGATGTTGAATTGGAATGTGTATATTATTTATTTATATAATTATTAAATAATTAAATAATTATTATTATATAAACATTATAAATATAGTTATTATGTTAAAGAGTAACAGATTTGTATCAGCATTTCAATCCACTTTCTTAGACATATTGGGCATAATAGGCCATATGTTTATATACAGTACTCAGAGGACACAGTAGAGGGGTGGAGACAAAGTGAGATAGGATAAAGTGGATGATAGTTACAGTTCCTCCAATACACTAACTTTCCCCACAGCTTATACGTGAAGGCACAGATGAATACCCTCCTGTATACTAGCTAAATTAAATGAGAACAGAAATTTCTTCTTGAAGCCAAGCATGACAGGGACTTAACAATGACGTGCAACATTGATGTGAAATGTTCTCTTATCCAATAGCTTGTGGGCCTCCTGAATAGTTTTCTTCCAGTATCTGACAAAAAGTTGTGCTATCTACACACTTCATGTTGCTTAAACATGTCTTTAGGGTGCTATATTACTACAGTAATTCTTAAATTGTTAAGACAGGACAATATCCTCCATTTTCATAGGGAGAACATCTGCTGTGGGAAGCTCATGTCTGAAGAAATGGGCAAGAAGTTCCAGGGAAGTTTACATCAAAACAAAACACTCTTTAAGGTGCCGCAACGTTATTCTTTTGATGTGCTGGGGGGAAAGTTCTTGTTCATGCTCTCTAATGCCGAGATTATCTGAGTCAGCAGCGTTTTACTGGCACGCAAAAGTTACTCTCTTATCCAAAACTGTCCTCACTAGCATACTATCGTACAATTGGAGATCCACAGCTTTTCTGTAAGGTTAAATGATCTGTCTCCATTGCGGACTTAACATGTTTTCTCCAGAAATAGATGGAAATAACACTAACAGGCTGCAATCATTTGGAATTTAAGGTGTTTTGGTTTCTCTTCTGCGCACACTTAGGTACTAAAGATGCGATGATGAGTTGTGAATTCAGCCCACAGGGACAATTTCCCCCAAATGCTTAGAGTTAAGAAGGTAGATTTTTTACTGTGGAGCAGTACAAACAAGCTTATGAATCCTTCCTACTTGTTGAGTTTTTGTGAGTTTTTATTATGTCATCATTTTTGTGCTTCACTTTTTCTCTGTGAAAGACTGTCTGTGGGAAGTATTGTTTTTTTTTAAAGTCATGCACTCATTTCATATATTTGTATTTTAATTTTGATCATTAGGTCATGTCCCCCATCCAGCTTTATCCCTGCTAATCCCGCTCCTCCACTCTCGGTAGAAAAGACAGTAAAGAAAAAAAAGGAGAAAGCGGGACACCTTCCCGACCTCCCCTACTCTTCCCGCCCATCTACGCAGAAGCACCCGGACCAAACGAGAATAGGGAGGAAGAGCACAGGCTTTGGGATTCCGCCCCGTTCTGTTTCCCACGTGCCCCGCCATAAAGGTTCCACCCGCCGGGAGTTCCTTTCTTCGGGCATCTCTTCCCGTTCCTATTCAGTTCGACTCCGCCGCCATGGTGCTCAATCCTGTCATTGGGAAGCTCGTCAACAAGAGGGTGGTGCTGGCCAGCGCTTCTCCGCGCAGGCAGGAGATTCTCACCAACGTGGTGAGTAAGGGGACAGAGGCCGAACCTCTGGGCGGTGTGCGTGGAGCTGGGAGGCAGGGATAATGCATTTTTAGCAGGAGATTCTCACCAACGTGGTGAGTAAAGGGGACAGAGGCCGAGCCTCTGGGTGGTCTGCGTGGAGCTGGGAATTCTTGCGCGGTTCTCCCGAATGTTTCCGATCCGCTTGAGTTTCTGGCAGGGATAATGCATTTTTTTAGCACCCGTACGGTCTGTAAAAACAGTGGTGAATCGCTACTAGCATGGCATTTACAACTTGGCAATGCTGCACCTCTCGAATTTCTGCCTGTCAGGCAGCTGTTGACTTTCAAGAGCTCTCGCAAGTGGAGGAGGGGGGAAACTTGGCAATGCTGCACCTCTCGAATTTCCGCCTGTCAGGCAGCAGCTCTCTCAAGGGGCGCGGGGGGGAGGAGGGGACAGAGTGGCAATTTTCTTTAGCAGCCACATTGCTCCCTGGGATTATTTCAGGTTGCCTTGACTGTGTGCCTGGCTGTGAACGATTCACATTTCAAGCTGGATACGATTAGTAAACAGTTACTTGTATGAAGCAGGGGTTGATTTGAACAAGCGTTAATTCTGTGATATTTTTTTTTGCAACCCTAGAATGTGTAATACTACTTAAACGCTAGAAGTGTAAGTTTTCATAATCTCCATGTTCTTCGTTGTAACTACTGCAGCATTTGCAAACGGCAAGCTTGGCTGCAACGTTGTCCCTCCCAAAGAAGACACAACTTGCAGGCTGAGGTGTCACTTAGAAAAAGAACCTCCAAACGGTGGCCCCATAATAATTTTATTAGAAACTATTAAAAACGACAGAGAAGCAAACACGTTTATGAATCCTTCCTACTTGAGTTAATATGTGTGTGTGTGTACGCAATTTGTAGTAGTGTTAAGATGGAATGAGGAGGTGCTAAAGAAGGCAGGGATGGGTACAAAAAGATCTCAAGTTTCAGCAAAGATGTGGGAGAGGGCAGCTGTCCCCAGTGTCATGGGCTGGGGTTACATCACCCCAGTGACAAATAAAAAGTGAGAGAGAAAAAGACAGTGGCCCAATATCTCTGAGTGCAACAAGAAGGAAGGTGGACATTAAAGTAACATTTAGCCCAAATGCAGACTCAGCCTATAGTGCTCACTGTGAAGGACATGGTTCCCTTGTGATACAAAGGTGTATTTTGAACACTAATCTTAATATTAGCATTAATGACATCTGCTTAAATTTTTTTTGTTGTTTTTCATCAGTATACAACAGACTATAGACTTGGGCTTCATCTTAGAGCAGAGATATAGCTTTACTCCCACCCCACCCCTTTTTAACATCCAACTCAGTTGACAGTTTGAATGATCTCTCCCTCATTTCTTTTGAAATGTTTGAATGGAGGTATTACTCTGCTATTGCATGTAGATATATGCATGTGGTTTTAGACCCCCAAATGAGTTGAAATGTCTTTATTTCTCCTGAAAAAAATTATTTGGCCAGAATCCTATTGGATAATTTGGCATAAAGAATAGGAATCACAGAAGTTGGCATGGCTAATTGATGAGGTACTAGTGAAATGCTGGTTCATGTCTGATCATGTTCGTGATTATTCACCCAGTGTGCATCTAGCATGAGTCCTGCACCTTTGTCAGTTAGCTGCATCATTTCCATGAATACTTTTGCATGCTCAGAAACATCCAGTAGGATTTTGGACTTTATATTTAAATTTGGCACATTCCGCTCCAAATCTGTTCTGCTTTCCTAGTGCTTCTGCAACATTGGAATTGTATTTTGTGCAAACAAGAATACTGTGTACTTTGATAAGCATTAAGTACACCGAGGTACTACTATATAATGTCTGTGATTCCTTTGGTAAGTTTCTCATTGCTGAAATTAAACCATAGAATAAGAGAATAAAGCTTGGAGATAAGCTATATGGAAAGCAGTGAGATTTACTGTCAAAAGCAGTAGTGACAGTTTTGTTTGGAAATATGATTTATTTATTTATTAGTTTTATTTATATGCTGCATTTCTCCCAACAAGGGACCCAAAGTGGCTCACAACATTAAAATTCACACAATTTAAAAACATAAGTTAAAATTATTTCTTTATAGTGGATGAAATCTTGCACTAGTGTTTAAAGGAGGCCTACCTTTTCCCATTTTTTCCATTATTACCAAAGTTTAATGTAGGATTCTTTTATGGCATTATTTGTATAGTGTAATAAGACACATTATTGAAAACCCAATTTTTAGATTGTTTAGAAAAAAATTATAAAATGTAATCCTATGGCATTACTATTATTTATTCAGTAATTTTCCTAATTTAAAAATACATTTATATAATGCAAGGAATTGTACCAATTCTTTTGGAAAATCTTATAGTGTGATCTGTCATATATGGATCTATACAGCCTGTCATATTTGTGATGTATTACTGATGTAGTCTTAGACTGGCATAAACTGCAGGTGAATTAAGTCCAGTGAAAACTGATGACATTCACAGTAGAACTGGAGTTACTGAATTTGTCCAAACTGTTACCTTATTATACATTTTATTATTTCTGAAGCAAACAAATCTGTAATTTTGATGTTTTATTATTTTTTGTAATATCCTGGGATTATCTGTGTGCTTTATTTTAATTTGTTTGTTTGTGTGCTTTTATTTGCTATACCCCACCCAGAATAGTGCATTGCACTAGTGGGACAGTCTCTCTCTCTCTCTATAGTAGTATATATATGGTAGCATATATTTCTTGTGTCTTTATTCTCTGAGATAGAGCTCAGTGGGCTTCCTCTATCTGAAGTCTCTTTCTCGAATTTTCTGTCTTTATTTTACAAGGGAACCTGAAGTTTATCTTATTCAACAGATAATGCTAAGCATTTTATTATGTCCATGATGACTGAGGTGTGCAATGGAGTCTTCCTGGCATACGTCTCACTTCAGCTATGAGCTCAATGGGTGAATGAGAAGACTTTCTGTGTTTTTACTGAGAAGACAGCTAAATGTAGAAGGGATGTACAACCAAATGTTTCAGTATGGAATGGTGCCTGCCTTCTCAGCATTTGTTACCTCATGCCAGCAGTTGGCATTCTGTGGCAATTCAGCTTACCTAGTCTTCATTGGGCTGCATCCCACCTTGGGGTCTCTCCTCAGAATGTTTTGCATTCTGCAAACTCCAGGGTTACCCAAAATCCTAATGGTACTTCTCCTTTTGTCTGTCAATAGTGCTGTTTTGACTACATAGGATCCACAACCAGATAATTTTACTGTTAATATAGGATTGCAGGGTATGATGGTTTGTATAATACTTTTTTAAAAAAGGGCAAGCAACAGTGATTATCTGAAAACATCCTGAAATTCATAGAATTGCTGATTGTGAGGAAAGTGGTGAAAATACTTCGTTTTTAATATTTAATCTTTTTGAACGTGTTTTTGGCTGAAAACTAGGCTTAACTTGTGTTTACTGTTTAACTTTGGAAATCTCGTTTTTTCTTTCTTTTTGCTGTGGTATACATTTCCAGGCTGTAGCTTGCGACCTAGGCCTATGCAGCACATACAGAAAGTAAGACTGGTTTTCTGACTTCCTAGTGACAGAGAAAGATAATGTGTAGCCATGGTTTTCTCTCAGTGAAACCTTCCACAGAGCTTTCTGCCTCCATGTCAAGAGCCACTTTTGTTTTCTGCTCCCAGCAGGCAGGGGGAAAGAATGAACAGAAGAGCTAAAGATGTACAGTTAGGTCCAGAAATAATTGGACGCTGACACTTATTTTGGCTGTTTACCAGTTCAAGTTACAGTTAAATAATAGATATGGGCTTAAAATGCAGTCTCTCAGCTTTAATTTCAGGGTCGTCATTGTTTAGTCGTTTAGTCGTGTCCGACTTTTCGTGACCCCATGGACCAGAGCACGCCAGGCCTCCTATCTTCCACTACCTCCCGGAGTTGTGTCAAATTCATATTGGTTGCTTCGATGACACTGTCCAACCATCTCATCCTCTGTCGTCCCCTTCTCCTCCTGTCTTCCCACTTTCCCAGCATCAGGGTATTTTCCAAGGAGTCTTCTCTTCTCATGAGATGGCCAAAGTACTGGAGCCTCAGCTTCAGGATATGTCCTTCCAGTGAGCACTCAGGGTTGATTTCCTTTAGAATTGATAAGTTTGTTCTCCTTGCAGTCCAGGGGACTCTCAAGAGCCTCCTCCAGCACCACAGTTCAAACGCATCAGTTTCAGGGTATTCACATCTAAATTGGAGGAAGGGTTTAGGAGTTATAGCTCTTTAATATGCAGCATCCTCTTTTTCAAGGGACCAAAAGTAATGGGACAGTTGACTCAAAAGGTATTTCATGGACAGGTGTGGGCTATTCATCAGTTAAGCAGATAAAAAGTCTGCAGTTGATTCCAGGTGTGACGTTAGCATTTGGAAGCTGTTGCTGTGAACCCACAGCATGTGTTCAAAGGAGCTCTCAGTGCAAGTGAAACAGGCTAGCCTTAGGCTGCAAAAAATCCATTAGAGAGCAGGAATATTAGGGTTAGCCAAATCAACAGTTTGGGACATTCTGAGAAAAAAAATGCACTGGTGAGCTCTGCAGCACAAAAAGGCGTGGACGTTCACCGAAGACAACAGTGGTGGATGATCATAGGATCCTTTCCATGGTAAAGAAAACCTCCTTCACAACATCCAGCCAAGTGAAGAACACTCGCCAGAAGGTAGGGATATCATCATCCAGGTTTACCATACAGAGAAGACTTCACAAGAGCAAATAGAGAGGATTCACCACAAGGTGCAGACCATTCATAAGCCTCAAGAATAGAAAAGCCAGATTAGATTTTGCCAAAAAAATATCTTTAAAAGCCAGCCCAGTTGTGGAACAGCATTCTTTGGATAGAGGAAACTAAGATCAACCTGTACCAGAATGATGGGAAGAAAAAAGTATGGAGAAGGCTTCAAATGGCTCAGGATCCGAAGCATGCAACATCATCTGTAAAACACAGTGGAGGCAGTGGGATGGCATGGGCATACATGGCTTCCAATGGCACTGGGTCACTAGTGTTTGTTAATGATGTGACAGAAGACAGAAGCAGCTGAATGAATTCTGAACTGCATAGAAGACAGAAGCAGCTGGATGAATTCTGAACTGCATTGGGATATATTGTCTGCTCACATTCATCCAAATTCAGTGAAGTTGAATGGATAGCGCTTCACTTTACAGATGGACAGTAACCCAAAACATACTGCAAAAGCAACGATGGAGTTTTTAAAGGCAGAGAAGTGGAATATTTTGCAGTGTCCAAGTCAGTGCTGATCACAACCCGATCAAGCATGCATTTATCTTGCTGAAGACGAAACGTAAGACATAAAGAACTACAAACAACTGAAGACAGCTGCAGTAAAGGTCTAGCAAAGCATCACAAAGGAAGAAACCCAGTGTTTTGTCATGTCCATGCAATCCAGACATCAAGCAGTCATTGCCTGCAAAAGATTCTTGTTCAGGTTCAAGTTCCCCTTGACATTTAGTCCAGTCATGTCCGACTAGGACGTGGTGCTTATCCCCATCTCCAAGCCATAGAGCCAGCATTTTGTCTGTAGACAGTTTCCATGGTCACGTGGCCAGCGTGACTAGACACGGAATGCCGTTACCTTCCCACCAAGGTGGTACCTATTTATCTACTCGCATTTACATGCTTTCGAACAGCTAGGTTGGCATGAGCTGGGACAAGTGATGGGAGCTCACTCCGCTGCATAGATTTGATCTTATGACTGCAGGTCTTCTGTGCTGACCTTGCAGCACAGAGGCTTCTGAGGTTTAACCCGCAGTGCCACCACGTCCCTAAAAGATTCTTGACAAAGTATTATATATGAACATTTTACTTATGATTGTGTTAAATTGTCCACAGAATGTGTTCAAAGGAGCTCTCACTGCAAGTGTATGATTGTGTTAATTTGTCTGTGCTCTGGTACGTGGGGTCATGAAGAGTCGGACATGATTTAATGATTAAACAACAACAACAATAACTTGTTCAATTACATTTGAATTCCTGAAATGAGGAGACTGTGTATGAAAATAGTTGCATTGCTAAATGTTTCATACAATATTTCTGTTCAACCACTTGAATTAAAGATGAAAGCCTGCACTTCAATTGCATCTTTGTTGTTTCATTTCAAATGCATTGTGATGGCGTACAGAGCCAGAATTATAAAAATTATGTCAATGTCCAATTATTTGAGGACCTAGCTATATATTAGATACTCTGGCTATACTGCAGAGGATTGTGTTCAGCAGTCCTTTCACCCCCATCTTTGGCAAATACAGTAGCATTTCTGTAAAAATGTGTAGAGACTGCTCTGTATGTGTTTGTATAGTATAGTAGGATTTCTTCCTGAAGTCACTGTGGTTCTCTGTCTCGAATAGGGTCTGAGGTTTGAAGTTGTTCCTTCCTGGTTCAAAGAGACCCTTGAAAAGTCATCTTTCTCAGCTCCTTATGAATATGCTGTAGAAACTGCAAAACAAAAGGCACTTGAAGTGGCAAACCGAATGCATCTGGTAAGCCCTTTACCTCCATTGTTTAATTCAATGTTTCTCTACTAAGTATTGTGTTATTTTGATTGCTATTACATGCATTTTCAGACTGATTTTGTATTGCTTTATTTACTATAATATGCTCCCTCCCCCCAGGAACTGAGGTATCTAAAAGTCCTTTTAGTAGGAAATGAATTGTTGGTACAGTATAAATAAATGTGTAGATAAATATGTACTAATCAGTGGATGCTTAACTGTCAAAAGACTTCACTGCTTTTTTGTAGGACAGATTTCTCTAGGGAATTGCTACATTGATCTTGATAATGCAGATAACCAGTGGGGTGCTAATTATTAGTATGGCTTTTATGCTACTTCGCTGCTACATGAAACTCCCATCTACTGTTTAAACAAAAAGTCATTTCAGTACTGAGATCATTTCATTACAACATAGGGGGACTAAGCCAAAATGGATTGGCTTAATGGAGAAATGGTTGATACAAGGATTATCTGTTCACTTGTGATACACTTTGTAACTTTCATTTTCTCAGTCCTGTCTTGTGAAATAGGTAATTTCACAAAAAGCCTGAGGACCATTTGATAGGCAAATAAGAGTACTGGGACAAAACATGATATACATTGGGGTGGGTAATGTGTAAAATCCTACATTGATTCCCACAGTTTACCACATGTCAACAATGCTGTTCTTACTTTGTAGACTGATAACTGAAATTATTCACAGCCTGATTCTCTCTTGCTTTACCAGCAAACAATTGCTACTTTGATTGTTGTAGGTTTTTTGGGCTGTTTGGCCATGTTCTGGAGGTTTTTCTTCCTAACGTTTCACCAGTCTCTGTGGCCGGCATCTTTAGAGAACAGGAGTTAGAACAGCCCGAAAAACGTACAACAACCATTGGATCCCAGCCGTGAAAGCCTTCAAGAATAAATTGCTACTTTGTCCATTATCTGTATCTCTACCTATCACAGGGCCATGTTTAAAAATGAGTCATTACAGTCTCACTCTAATGTCTGAGGAAGTGGACTTGATCCATGAAAGCTCATACAGTATCAAAATATAATAGTTAATTTTTAAGGTACCACAATATTTTTATCTTTTGTTTTCTTTCTTTCTGAATGACACACACACACTTGCCCAGGCTAACACAGCTCCTGGTGGGTTTGGATGGGGCCAGTGGACTCCACAACCCTTGGATGTTGCCCACTCCTGATATAGATGAATTTAATACAAGTATGACTACTGTATGCCAATTCCCTACTTGCTACTGGATTCATTACCTGGTTTGCAGTCATAGAAAGCAAGCTATTGTGCGTGTGTGTTTCACTGTTAAAAGCATGGGGAAACTGAACAAAATACATGTATTTGTTTATTCTTTTCAGAAACACCTTAGAACACCAGATGTCGTCATAGGAGCAGACACTATAGTGGTGAGTTATGATAGCTATCTTAACAATTGATAATTAAATTAAATTTTTGTTAAACTCCACTTGCCCACAACATTTACTTGTGTACATTGCCAGAAAATGAAATAGTGAATTATTACAGTGTCAAAGTTCCTGTTTGCTATGAGTCTTGTTAGCTATTTCAGATCCTACTTGATGAAGAATGTGAGATTTTAACTTGTTCAGTTTGAGCAATTTGGACAACGAAAATTTAGCTTTACATTATTCCCTCATGTGCCATCCCATGGCTTCAGAAAATGATACTTTGCACTTGATGAGGGATGATAGGAGTTGTAATTCATCAATAACTGAAGGTCCACAGGTTGCCCATGCTACTCTAAAATCAAGCATTTGCAAATTTTCAGGGACCCAGTGATAGTTGAAACCTTGTTGAGGTGAAAAGTATATGCAAAGTTAGGAGCACTGAATTAGTTATTTTAAAATAGAATTTTAAAAATTCAAATTTAGCCATGAATGTGTCTTTTTTTTAAAAGGGTATACTAAATAAAATACTGAAGAAAATACAGTGGTGCCCCGCAAGACAATTGCCTCGCAGGACGAAGAATTCGTCCAGCAGTTGAGTCCAGCAAGGGTTTTTGTGCCTCACAAGACGATTTTTACTATGGCCCTGTTTGGCAAAACGAACCCCCCGCTTCTGAAAGTGGTGCTAGGTGTGTGTGTGTGGGCAAGATGATAGTAGCTTTTATAAGAGATATAAGTTATGCCCCTCTGAAGGTGGAAAAGCCTTGCTTCCCCTCCAAAGGAAGTCCAAAGATGGTAAGATAAACTACGCTGGTCATATGTTATTTCAGGTGGTAAATAAAATGAGTTTGCGATGATCGGTTCCCTGCTTCAGGAACCGATTCTTCGCAAAACGATGATTTTCCTCCAGCTGATTGGCGGTTTCAAAATGGCCACCGGGTAAATAAAATGGCTCCCCGCTATGTTTTTGGACAGATTCCTCGCAAGACAGCCACCGAAAATGGCCGACCTATGGAGGATCTTCACTGGATGGTGATTTTACAGCCCACTGGAATGCATTGAAGGGGTTTCAATGCGTTTCAATTGGCTTTTTATTTTTGCATTACGACGTTTTTGTTCTACAGTGGCTTGGCTGGAACAAATTAACATCGTAATGCGAGGCACCACTGTACCCAGTTCTCATGTTGGGATGACTTTGCTAATTTTTTATGTATTACAGCCTTAATCAATAACACATGAGTTGGCTCATTTGATTGTATCAGTGGCTTTTATGGTGGCCTTACTGATGCACTTCTGATCATCTAGTGGTGGTGATAATGTGACAGGATGCAGAGGACTGCAGTCCTTATCGTAATGCGAGGCACCACTGTACCCAGTTCTCATGTTGGGATGACTTTGCTAATTTTTTATGTATTACAGCCTTAATCAATAACACATGAGTTGGCTCATTTGATTGTATCAGTGGCTTTTATGGTGGCCTTACTGATGCACTTCTGATCATCTAGTGGTGGTGATAATGTGACAGGATGCAGAGGACTGCAGTCCTTCCTTTTCATATAACTTATTCCATGGGCAGGTTCTCCACATGAAGCATGATTCCTATGGTGGTCCCATTCATGTGGTTTCCCCTCTAAAAGCAACAGATACATTCACATGGGGTTACATGCTTAGAGAACCCTTGATCAATTTACAGTCTTCTGCAGGGATCCGGAGTTTGTCTCCCTTTCTCTACCAGTCCCAAGAGGACTGTCAGCTAGCTAAGTGAACAGACAAAACTTTAGGTTTGACTTGCAGCCTGAGAATTGACTTACAGACCAGAAAAAAAACCAAAATGGAACAAAAACGGCCTGTTACGGGATTAATCGGTTTTCAATGCACTGTAGGTCAATGGAGACTTGACCTACAGACTTTTTGACTTGAGAACCGCCTTCCAATACGGATTAAGTTCTCAAGTCAAGACCCCACTGTAGGTGGATGGCCCCTTCTTTTTAGGGTATTGAGAATAATATTTTGTTGGTGTTGCTTTCTAATGTTGTGAGCAGTCAGTGGCTAAGTGGAAGGATCTATGAGGGTGAAAAAATTGTTTCTTCATGAGCAATCATGATTGCGCCTTACATAACAGAACTTCACTAATTTTACTTCCTAAATTTCAACTTCTTAAAAGTCTTATTCTTAGCGTTTGATATGAATACTGCAATATATGTATCAAAAAAATATTTTTGTTTCAGACAATAGAAGAACAGATTTTGGAGAAACCAGTGGATAAGCAAGATGCTTATAGAATGCTTTCAAGGTTTTCACTTTTAAAATAATATCTTAAATTCCAACATAACTGCATATATCTGTAATGTAATGCTTTTATACTAGGCCTATGTGAGTATGGAAAGGAAATGATGAATTCCCTTGGAACAGGATATCTTTAATTTGCTTGTTGTAGCTTAAGAGATAACAATTTTGTTTCATCGTTAAGAAAACACCTTTTTACAAACAGCTATCTTTGCAGTTGGCAATAAGTTCAGTATATGTTGAGTCATTCTTGTATCAGATTATTGATTCATTTTTCTGAATCTGCTTTTGGTTAAACTGAACTTTGAAACAGAATCATATGAATTGCTTGCAAATATTTTTACCAAGGAAGGTATGCTCAATTGTATTACCTGTTTATAACTAAATAGAACATAGTGGCTAAAATCCTGTTGCACAGTTATGCAAAGCGTGTAAGTTTTAGTGGCAAATTGCTGTAAATTAAGAAATCTCCATAGGCATTCTGTTGGATACTGACCTGCATGACTCAACATGCAACAGAGTGCTTCAAGCACTATGGGGTGGTATATGGGGTGGTATATATAGTGTTACTCAGGTGACACTATAAACCATGTACCGCAGCACTGACTGGTAGTATACTTGGGTATAACATCTTGTGAATGCTATCTATAAAAACAATAAACAGGGTTTGTAAGCCAAAAAGAATTTTAATTTAGGAAAACCCCATAATAAAAGTGACAATAAAAAGTTCCAGTAAACAAGTAAAGATACAATATAACAGCAAAGTTTAAACAGTCAATTCCTTTGGTATATACTCATAAGCCTTTAGTTTTCTTCTTTATACTTTTTAATACCCTGCCCTTTCTATATCAATCCTTGCTTCAACACTACTTTTGATATCACTTTTATTCACAACTTCTTCCTAAAACAGATCTTACTCATTCACACATAGCTTTATCTGACAACACATAAGAACATCTGTGCTGGATCAGGCCAAGGGCCCATGTAGTCCACCTTCCTGTATCTCACAGTGGCCCCACCAGATGCCTCTGGGAGCACATGAGACAACTAGACACCTATCTCCTGATACCACTCCCCTGCATCTGACATTTTGAAGTACCTTCCTTTTAAGCCTGGAGATTATACATCCCCATCATGGCTTGTAACCTGCAATTGATTTTTCCTCCAGAAATCTGTCCAATCTCCTTTTAAAAGTATTCAGGCCAGATGCCATCACCACATTCTGTGGCAAGATGCTCCACAGACTAACACCACGCTGGGTCATGAAATATTTTCTTTTGTCTGTTCTCAGTTTCCCAACACTTAATTGGAGTGGATGTCCCCTGGTTCTGGTATTACGTGAGAGGGAAAAGAGATTCCCTCTATCCATTTTATCCACCCCCTGCATAATTTTATATGTCTCGATCATGTCCCCCCTCAGACGCCTTTTCTCTAGACTAGAGAGCCCCAAACGCTGTAGTCTTTCCTCATAAAGGAGGTGCCCCAGCTCAGCAATCATGTTAGTCACTCTCTTCTGCACCTTTTCTTAATTGGCTTTAAATAATTAACATTGACATTCACATGTGCTTTTATACAAGACAGAATCTCTCCAGCCAAGAATCGCACAGACCCAGGCAGTATGCAGTTCCATTCAGAAACATTATTTCATACCTTTCAACTCTCTTTGCTGCTGCTTCCGGCACACTTTCCTCTCATACAACTACCAATCAAGTCCAGTCATTTACCATGCACACAAACACCCACCTCTGCATAAAACATATATACTGTGCAAAATTACCACACTACACAACAGCTTCCTATTTGATTTAGGATTGTACAGCAAAGAATTTATTTTCTAGTCTTCTGTGTTCCTGTTGTCTCTTGAAAGTTCATGTTTAGTAGTCCATTTGTATTTATAATTCCCATTGTGAAGTACCTGTATATGTAATCAGTTTAATAGTTTTATGTGTAGTTTAGAAAGTATACTATAGAAGGGTATTGGAATTGAAAGCTTTTGCACTGTTGTACCTATATGCTAAGTTGCTACCGTGTTTCCCCAAAAATAAGACAGGGTCTTATATTAATTTTTGCTCCAAAATGCATTAAGTCAGGGTATATCCGAGATCAGGTACCTTCCAGAACTCCAAGGCTGCGTTAGCTGCACCTGTCCAGGTCTGCTTCCTGTCCCCTCCCAGCATCACCCAATTTATTGTTTTTAAATGGTCCCAGTCCCCCTCTCTATAGACCAGAAAGTAGCCACTTTGGGCAAAAAGCCCTCCCTCAATTAAAAAAAATGTCAGTGGCTGGTTGCTTCTGGTTTTGAAAAAAAAAGTGATTATGGGCCTATATCAGATATGCGTAGGAATGACCTGCAATGATCAGTTGTTTCCCCCGAGGGTGCTGTTAGCCATTTCAGGCAAAACAATTTTTAAAAATCAGGTTGTGTGCTGTGGGGGTGGTCTTATTGTGGTCCTGGGAAGGGGTTCATTTGCTCCACTGGCTGCACTTTGTTCAATCCTGCTCTACGTCCTTGGATAATTTTTTGGTTTTAGCTTTTCACCACTCTAAAATGAAAAAAACACCTAACACTATTTCAGTTGCCCTGCATAAAACTATAAAACCGAGTAGCTTGCTAGTCAGAACTGCTGTATTATTCATAAAAAAGGAGAACCTGTCACAAACTTGAGTGTTACTTTTTAAAAGTAATCTGCAGTCTTTACTGCAATGTAGTTGTGACTTAGTTGTGCCTTATTTTCCTTACCAGGTTGAGTGGCAAGGAGCACAGTGTCTTCACGGGCGTTGCTATTGTTCACTGCAGTAATAAAGGTAATTCAGAATAACAAATATGCCTGACATAATATAGGTTCTTAATGACACAGTGAGTCTGGCAGGATGGATTTGATCTAAATCAAATACATTTAAATCACTAGTCCAGTGGTTCCCAAACATTTTGGACTTGCCACTCCCTATATTTACTGACCACTGGCTGTGACTCTCCTTGCTTGGAGGGGCCATCAGGCATCTCACTGCACCAGAGGCAGGATCTTGACACGCCTTCCCAGCCATCCCATTTTCTCCTCTCCCGCCCCTAGAATATCCACTAGGGCCCACCTCCTTCCAGGTCCTGAGACCGGAAGCTCATGAGACCACCTGGCAAGCACCTCCACCAAGGACCATAGGGATGGGACACAGAGAGGCTTTCACTTCCGGTTCCTGTTTGATATAGAGCTATGAACAACTCTACAGTCTTCATAGCTCTATATTCCGTCCCTTTTCCTGTGGCTCCCATGGCTTGGTTCTCGGGCACCCCATGAAACTGCAGTGCACAGCTTGGGAACCCCTGCACTTATACATAATCATTGTATTAAAAATATTTGATTTAAATAACAAAATTGTATTTAAATTTTAAAATCTGTATTTTTTTTAAATTGGATTTTTTAAAAAAAAAATGCTTAATGACTGCTGATTTAAATTATGATCATTTTACAATCTTCTCCATCTCTTGCATTTTATGGATCATGATTTTGTGTGGATATGGGGGTTGAATGCTAAAGTTTCATGTTACTTAGTTTTATATGGGTGAACAGAGTAGGTTGACAGCAATCACACTTCCTCTGATGTCTGGCTGTGGGTTGGTTCTACTGTGGTTGGCAACAGGGGTAGGCGAATGGCAGCTTTGCAGATGTTTCCAGATAGCATCACTTAGCAGCTCTAGCCAACACAACGGAGAGCAGCCTCACAGCAACTGGAGGGCAGCATTTTGCCCCTAGCTTCTTTAAGAGTTGCACCTTGTTGTCTTTTTCTGACATAGCCGTTTTTAACCCTAGGCTTTGATTGTTTCTTTTTCTTCTAGATAACCAGCTAGAGACTGAAGTAACAGATTTCTATGAAGAAACTAAAGTAAAATTTTCTGAACTCTCTGAAGAACTCTTATGGGAATATATTCATAGTGGGGAGCCAATGTAAGTGTGATATTTGGGAGTATATGAGTAGATCTAAATATGGACCTAATAGTGCTCAAAAAAACCTATTTCACAGTGCATGTGTGCCAAACATAGAACATAAAATTAGTAGCTCTCTTGTACTGTTTGTCTAGTAAGAGCGAACAGTTCCAGGGTAGCATTAAAGATTTCCAGAGATGGGAGGGGAGTTTGCTGGGAAACATCAACAATAAAGTTCAAAGTCTCACTATGTGTTAAACATTTTAAATGGGGGAGGGGGCAGTCTGTGTGTGTGTGTGTGTGTGTGTGTGTTTGTGAGAGAGAGAGGGAGAGAGAATTTGCTTTCCTTTTTTTAATACTATGTTATACCTATACAGTATATAATATTACCTTATAACTACAGAGCTGGAAGGGACCCCATGGAACATGGTGTAATCCATTTAGGTGAAATGGTCACTGTCTTTTTCTTGAACAAAAAGATTTACTTTTAATGAGGGTGCTTAGCACAGAGGCATATATAGCTTATGACAGTGGTATAGAACAGTGGTTCTTAACCTTGGGTTATTCGGGTGTTTTTGGACTGCAACTCCCAGAAGCCTTCACCACCAGCCATGCTGGCTGGGGTTTCTGGGAGTTGCAGTTCAAAAACACCTTAGTAACCCAAGGTTAAGAACCACTGGTATAGAATCATTGAGCGATACTACGAGAAAGAAGGTGCTCTTGAGGTTTACAACACCAAGTGAGGAGAGAGGGCTGACCCAGTTCCTCCTGAATGAGTGATCACACATGGAGATCATTTCATAAGATTAAAGCAGCCTAGGCAGTGATCCAAAAGCTCACTGAAAAAGCAAACCTTGCACCTGTAATTAATGTTGTAGTTAAATCTAGACTAGACTACTAACATGTGCTGATGTGAGGCTGTTTTTAAAGAGGACTTTAAAGTTAGTGTGAAATTTATCCATCTGGTCCCCTGCAGAGACTAGTCAGAAGGCAATCTAAGCATGTAACACCAACTCTATACCAGCAACACTGAAGGCCAGGGCATTTCCTGGTCCCGTTTCAAGTGCTAGTGATTACCTTTATACTTCTAAGTAACCATGTTCCATGTTATTTGGAAGGCCATTTGTACTTATATAAACCTGCTTGAGGTGAACAGTTGGCCGTATAAGATTTATTAGGTTGATGGACATAAGAAGCTGGTTCTTCTGGTGACCCTCAAGGAGATTTTTCAAACTTGAATGTTTCAGTCTATTTTTAATTTATGGTACTTCATAATCTGTATTTTGCAATTTTAACTTTCATCGATAACATATTTTTGATTTGTGCTGAATTTGTATTCTACAGTTCCTTCTCTAGTTAGTGTGTACTGTACATATATAATTTAAAAATACTTCTATACCAACTTTAAATTAATCTTCAGCATGTAGGCATTTCTTAACATGCACTCCATTCCCTTCTCCTGACTGTAATTTTGCCTTTTGCATCAAAGGCCATTCCCAAAGTTTTCTTGAGATTTGGGAGATCCCTGCCCATCCTGTGAGACTACTTTCTGAAAACAGAACCTCAGAATACCTGCTGCATGACCAGAGTTGACCATATATCTGTATGTCTTATCTAAGTGTTTTACATGTCTGAAAGAGTAAGAAGAGGCCAATGGCTGACACCTAAAGTTTAGTCATTTTTGCTAGTGTGGGAAAACTATATGTATAGTCCACAAATTTAAGATTCACATTCCTTTGTTTTTTTCTTCAGAATCAGAAGGATACGTACATGCTAGTGAATTTTAGGAAAAATGTTAGTCTGGCAGCAAAAAAGACAGAGATTCAGATGGTGGCCTCTCTGTGCAAAAAATAGACAAATGTTGCCACAGCACATTGGCTGAGTGGGATTGGCAGTGGCTTTAGCTGTTAGCTATATCTATTACTACTGAGTTTTTACTGCTTATTTATAATTAAACATGAGCTTCAGTGGGGTCAAAAGCTCATGGGATCTCAACATTGAGCAGAAGAAAGACAGCTTTAAAATTGTGTGATGGCAAGAAAACGCATGCCCTCCAATTAAGAATTAGTCTCAACAGTGTAGAGCACAGTTCCTGTCTGGCAAGAATAAAAAAAATGTTTTACTTCAGAAATGATGATATTTTGTAATGCTTGTGACTTTTGGTCCCATTTATTCTTCTTTTATACGTAGTGGGAAAGTATTAAGGGTCTCCAGAGTGGTATCATGCTGGCAGTAGTAGTGAAGGTAGCTCTGAAAAAGATTTATCTATTTATTCTCTTAGTTTGTTTTGTTCTATTCAATACAGCTGATATTTTATGTCAATTCATGCATGAGAAAATGAGAGCGAAATAAGGATGTGTTCATAAAGCAGGAACTACCAAATTCTTTTCTTAGAGAAAAAAGAATGAACCACCTCTAACATCTTCTGCATTGTTTTGCAGCTGTATTTATGTATGTAGTTCACACTCCAGCAAATAGCAGCTTTTGTTTTGGCATAGGTTAGATATTACAAAGTTCTTTCAGTTATTGCTGCCAATATCTGATCCATAAAATGTTACTTTTTATGCTGAATCCAATATTTGAATTATGCCTAGAGTGACACAAAAGGCTTTCAAAGCTACTTAGGTTGTTATACCAACAGATTGGCCCTATTGTATTGTATTTATTACATAGCGTTTTATTGTATGACTTTATTGCTTGTTGTGAACTACCCAGAGAGTGATAACACTAATGGAGTAGTATAGAAGTGGAAAAGATGGTTGGATGGATGGATGATGAACTGAAACAATTTGATTGTATTCTGCACATCAGAGCAGTAGTTTACACAGAAACTCTCAAACTAAGTAGATGCAGAATTGATCGTATCCTGAATGGGAGATCACGGAAATCTCCATCAATACCCAGATTTTCAGATTATTAGCTCCGTTCTTTTGCTGCATATCCATTTAAGATTGTAGACAAAGCTTGAGAGCCAAATAAAGTTGGCACTCATTCATGAGCCCAAAGGGGCTTTAGACCTGTTTTTCTTTTATACCAGCCCTAGAAGACTTACGGTAATCTGTTTTTAAATAAACCAAGACTTCAAATTAGTTCATATTGTGTCCATATGACCAACCATTGAGAGAGAGAAAAGAAGGGTGCAGGTTCTATTGCAGTAGTATAAGCTTACATGAGGCTTTGTATCTTTTTGTACTTTGGCTAAAATGTTTGATTTCTTAAATATGCAATACTGTATGATTGAAAAAGGTGCTCCGTTCATCATTGTATTTAAGTACCCATGAATTTAAATTAATTTGTTTATTTTTACTTCAGGGATAAAGCTGGTGGCTATGGGATCCAAGCTCTTGGAGGAATGTTAGTGGAATATGTTCATGGAGATTTCTTAAATGTGGTGGGATTTCCTTTGAATCACTTCTGCAAAAAGTTAGCAGAACTATATTACCCTCCCCAGAAGCACACCATCCATCACATAAAACATGACTCTATCCCTTCAGTGGAGACTTTTGAGATCATAAGTGATGGAGAATGTGACTCTTCAGACTGTGTGCAGCTTGAAGATGCAAAAACGTTAAGCAGCGGTGGGGTTGGCCACAACCCAGTAAAGTGCATAAAGAGTACTCAGAACTTCAGTTTGCCTATGGAAAGTCAAAACGGAGTAGCAGAAAATGCAGCAAAGTTCCCATGTAAACTTATATGTCTTCTGGATGGTTTCAGAGCATCAAAGGTAACACTCTCTTTGTTCTTCTGCTATGCTGATTTGTAAAAACATGTAGTTTATTCTGTAGAATGGGCCTGGCTGTGTCAGAGTTTTAACTTTTGGAACGCTCTAGAATTTACAGTAAACATAAACACAATGGTAGTATTGTTTTGTACAGCATTGTGTACTCTTTAAATAAAATGAAGTGATAACTAACAAAATACTGTGTTTCACAGTCTCAAGTGTTATAGCTTGAGTCATACTTCTGTCTACTGGTCATGTGACTTCTGTCTACTGGTTACCGTATTTTTCGCTCCATAAGACGCACCTCTCCATAAGAAGCACCAAATTTTTAGGCAAAGAAAACAGGAAAAAGCTGGAAATTTCGCTCCATAAGATGCATATACTTTTCCCCCAATGTTTTTTTGGAAAAAAAGTGCGTCTTATGGTGCAAAAAATACGGTATATTTTCTTTCAAAACTGTTAGTAATCAGGTACGTTTGATCATAAAATGGTTCATTGCAGAATGTTCAAGCTAGCTAAAGTAGACAAAACTAAGAGGCTTATAGATTGATGGCAGTGGGTTGGGTGTTGGTGATTGATTTTTCTTTTAATAAACACATCTATACTTCATATCTACAGGCTTTGTTTGTGGCCTGTAAGCTGAAGGTATTTGATTTTCTCAAAGACAAGGGCACCATGACGGCAGTGGACCTTGCAAATCAACTTAACAGTTCTGTATGTGGCACAGAAAGGTTACTTGATGCCTGTACTTCTCTTGGCCTACTAGAAAAGGGCCATCAAGGTAAGATTTTGCCATAAAAGGAGCAGGGGTGGGCTCAAAAATGCAGACAGACTACAGACAGATATAACAGAAGAAAAAGAAAACACATATCTAGAAAAATGACTGTGTTTTCAATTACTTTAGTTAGCTTTAGAAACATTGCAGAAATAACAGAAGAAAAAGAAAACACATATCTAGAAAAATGACTTTTCAATTAATTTAGTTAGCTTTAGAAACATTGAATATGGCCCAACAAATTGTGACATGAAATCATTCATCTCTTCCCTGCCCCTCATTTTTCTTTTTCAATAGCAGCTACATGGGAGAAGCACTGTGAGAAGGGGGGGTGTAACCTTTTCTTTCTATGCTGTTGTCCCCCATTTTCTTTTTCAATAGCAGCTACATGGGAGAAGCACTGTGAGAAGGGGGGGGTGTAACCTTTCTATGCTGTTGTCCCCCAACTCTTTGTCCCATATGGTTCACTTGCTGTAGTAGCATTTTCAGGATTAAAAAACTCTGAAGGGGAAATCCATTCTATCATGCAGTAGAAAAGGGGGTAGTATTTGGATCTCTTAATTGAGCCTCTTAAATAGCTTAGGCTAGCAACTTGGGTGTGGATATAGGCAACTAGTTCTGTAGGAAGAGGTAACTCCTATCCATAAGGTGTCTCCCATGATAATACAGATGAAAAAAAAACTTGAATAAACTTTGAAAACCTAAAACTTTAAAAGAATGTTGTGAAATTGGTTTTCTCAATGTTTTTAAAGGTTACAGCAATTCAGAATTGGCAAATCTGTATCTGGTATCGAAGAGTGAATATTCACTCCACGACTACGTTCTCCACTGCAGTGAGCGCATGTGGCCCCTGTTTACACATTTGGAGACAGCTGTCAAGGAAGGGACTTCACAGAATCAGTGTATATTTGGAAGGAAAGTAGATGATTTGTTTCAGGTAATATAGATCCCAAACATTCTTTATGTACAGATAATGTGGAGAAAATCTTTTTAATGCATTTAGTTCAGAACAACTGATGTTTCAGGATGGTCGTGTGACAGGTTTTGAAATCACTTTTGGAATTTGATTTGTTTCAGCGATTAACTTCTTAAAACCCGATCCTCCTGTCTGGGAATATTGCGGATTTTATGTAAACTGAGTTCATTATCCTCTTTTTATTGACTTGAGCCACAGAATGGAGCTTTGCTTTCTCTCTCTTGAAATTGTCTGCACAGTATACTGTGACATACTTGAGTAAATTATCACTTTGAAATTTTAAAGAAACTTACTCTTGAGTAGCCATACATCAAAATAAGCATTATTAAGTCTCTAGTTCATTTTTTTCATACAAACCATTCACATCTCTGTTTTAATACATAATTATTTAATAGTTCCTCTTTATTAAAGGGTTACTACTACCAAGCTACAGAGTTGAAGCACCAGTTTATGAGTGCCATGCACAGCATTTCCAAACTGACAGCAAGAGACTTAGGCACAGCTTTTGATCTTTCAAAATTTCAAACTGTATGTGATCTGGGAGGTAAGTACTCCCATAAGAACATATGTGTACATTGAGGGGAAAAAATCCCTGTTGTATTTGAACTGATTATTTCCTAATGCTTCCTTTTGAGGGTGTTCCTTACAGCATTTATAATCTTTGTCTCTGGATAAAGTAACTTTGGAGTAAATACATGTAACAGATGGAAGCATTCTTGTCTCTTTTTTCTGTTTATTTTAAATGCTCTCTGTTCCTGATTCATTTAGCCAACATATTCAAAACTGTATAGGAACACTCCTGGTTGTTTTGGACTAATTGTTCTTATCTACAGTCATCGCAGCAAATCTCAGAGGCTAATAATCTTAAACTCTTATACAGCCAGTTAAAATCATGGTTTTGTAATTTCTGAAGATGAGATTGAACCGAAAGGTTGCATAAGGCTATGCAAGGCTCTTAACTTTTTTTAATACTTACTTTTAAGCAAGTACTGAATACCAACATTTTAGACATGTATTTTGTCAGAATCAGGGCTAATATAAACTCGTTTGGATATTTTGCTCTCTACAGGTTGCACAGGAGCTTTAGCCTATGAACTAGTCCATCTCTACCCAGAAATGAAAGTCACTGTGTTTGACCTCCCAGACGTCATTGCAAGCATCTCCAGCTTTCAGCCTTCAAGGCAAAACACTGATGGAGTATCTTTCACACCAGGTAGAAACAATGCAGCTTGTAAAGCCGAGGTGGGGAGCCTGCAACTAACAGCTGCAGATGGGCCTTGGCTCATTCTGCAAACTGTGCCCACCTTGCTGGCTCTGGTCCCATCTCCGACTAGAATGTAAAGCCTAATCAGTTTGGATCAAATGTGGATCTAAATGTTCAAAAGTTTCCTCTCCTTTGCCACATAACTGCTTTGTGGCTAGAAATAAGCATTTATTGTTTGTATTCGCAAAGGCTTTCATGGCCAAGATCTAATGGTTGTTGTGGGTTTTCCGGGCTCTTTGGCTGTGTTCTCTGTGGCTGGCATCTTCAGAGGACAGCACTTTGTGCTCTGGTGTAGTTGGCTTGGGAGTGCAGTAGGCTTTTGTCTTTTTCTGTAGATGGATGATTAGTGTGTCTTGTTGTGAGTGTATTGTGCTAAGGAGAAGAGATTACCCCTTTGATGTATGGAAGAAATACTTTATTTGTGCGTGGCTGTTTTTCTTCTTCAGTTCAGTGTTGTTTTCTTGGTTTGATGGCAAGGCACACTAATCATCCATCTACAGAAAAAGACAAAAGCCTGGCTACACCAGAGCACAGAGTGCTGTCCTCTGAAGATGTCGGCCACAGGGACTGGCAAAACATTAGAAAGAACAACCTTCAGAACACAGCCAAAGAGCCCGAAAAACCCACAACAACCATTTATTATTTATTTATTATTTTCATTTACTGTATAAGTTTTGTTTAAAGACACTGAATAGCACATGCCACAATATTATTATATATATAAAAACACAGCTATCAAATAGTAAAATACTTTACATAGATGATAAACAGGCAAATGAATATTAGCAACAACCAAAAGCCTACCAGGCAATTTTATCTTACAAACATTATCATATAAGGAATGCCTGCAATATAAGTGGTAGAATAGCAGTTGCCCAACATCCAAAGGCGAGCTGGAACAATTCTGCCTTACATTCCCTCCTGAATCCATGCAGGGATGTCATACTGCACAGGGGCACAGGAAAGAATTCCAAAGCATAGAGGTAGTGACATGAAGATATCTTTTTTTCCTAATCTATTCAGTTTGACCGTCTTTAACAATTGGCACCTTGAGAAGAACACTTCTGGATGATCTCATTTGGCACAGGGGCTCATATGGGTAGATGCGGTCCAGTAGGTATGCAAATCTTCTGTCATGTAGGATTTTAAAGGCAATGACCAACACCTTGAATTGAAGCCAGAAAACTACTGGCAGCTGGTGCAAAACAGGTGTCATATGATAATGACAAGAAGCACTCATTAATAGCCTAGCTGCTTCATGTTGTATCAGTTGTAGTTTCTGTCTTCAAAAGCAAGCCCATTTAGAGTAAAGTAGTAATTGTGTGCCATCATGTCAATTCTGACTTATGGTGACCTTTTCCAGAGTCTCCTAGGTAAATAATACACAGAAGTAGTTTACCTTTCCTTTCTTCTGAGGACTCCCTAGGACTGTAACAGCTTGCCCAAGACTGCATAGGTTGAGAGTTTGATTTCCCACCGTGCCTCTCTCTCTCTCAGGAGGCACAGTAGGGAATCGAACTTTCAACCTTTAGTTCTACAGATAGATACCTAAACCACTGAGCTATCCAGCTGGCCAGAGTGAAATACAGTAGCCTTATTTGGACCAGGGACAAAGGATAAATTGGCCTGGGCATGGTTCCTATCTGTTTCTGCAAGGGGAGCACTGGGTCTAATAAGACACTCAAGCTCCTTACCTGGTTGACAAGAGGATTTTTTTTCTCCAACAACCATTATAATCAAAGAATGATCTCTCACAACAAAGTCTGCTTTTTGAAACATTAGCCAGAATGGTACTGGTGTTTACCCATTGTTTGTATAACTTCCTGTGGCTAATTGACAAGTTGCTAGCTCACGTCTTTGTCACATGGCTGTTTGTGCATCCATCTGCACAACTGAAATGTGCCCTGGCACCCTATAACTTAGCCAGGGTGAGTTAGACAAACCGTATGCAAATAACAATAGGATTTTAGCCACTGTGTTTCTTATAAAAGTAGAGAATATATGCGGTGAATACTTTCAAAGGGCTGCTTAATGAATATGATTCCTCACAAAAATATGTATTTCCTCCATTCCATTTGTCTGACATTATTTGTACACAAACATACCATGCGTGTATATAGCTGTAAAACTTACCAACTCCGTGTGTGTGTGTGTGTGTTGCACATAATTTTAGGACATTTCTTCCATTTGATGAAGCAGATTACAATCCACAAACATATTATACAGATATGTCAAGTTTTCAAGCTGCTATAACATTGTTTTTGCTAATGTAGTTACCCTGCTCAAATATATTATTTCTTACATACTAGACATGTATTTTGATGCAACTTGATGACTAGGGATTTTTTAGATCAAAAAAATTTAAATTACATGTGACCATGAGCTTCTTTATGTGCAGATAGCCCTTTTCCTTTCTTTCCCAAAGTATCCCTGTTTTACACATCTAGGAAATCTAAGTACAGACTACTTTTACAGTATCAATATGTATGTAAAGCTACTGAGGCAACCATGTGCTTCTTTTTTTAGAATTAATAAAAACTTATTCTCAAACAGGTGATTTCTTCAAAGATAATCTTCCAGAAGCAGATCTCTATATACTTTCACGAGTTTTGCATGACTGCAGTGAGGAAAAGATTGACATTCTCCTAAGCAAAATAGCTGTTGCTTGCAGGCCAGGTAAGAGTTTTACTCTACCTTCTTGTCTCTCTTGGAATTTACCGAGCAAAATGAAATAGTATATTTACATATAGATATGTACACAGACAGACAAATATGTATAAACATATCTTATGGTTACAGTCTTAAATGCCCTTTAGTGGCACTGTAAAATACAAATAGGATTACACTGTAAGAAAAGGGAGAAAACTATTAATTTGGAAGGAAAGCTATCACTGGGGTGAGTAAAATGTTAAACTTTTCCCCATATGCTATGGTCGAGTTTTGACAATGTAGCCTTATCAGTTACCATTTACATTTTTTTAAAGAAACAGATCATTGAGACATAATTGAAAGCTATAGTGCTTGTAGGCAGACAGCTCATAACACTGCAGCTGAGAAGATAAAGTGGATATTCTCAGTTTTGGAAACTTAGCAAAAGAAAATGGAAGATGCAGTGCAAGATTTCATCTAAGCTGTGCGCAGACTTTTACACAAGAGAGATGGAGCCCTGCCCAGTGGGGCTGAAAATTAGAGTGTGTGTTGGTACAGTGGGAAAATTCAGGAGTGTTACAAATTTAAGATGATATCAGATCTGTGGCCACAGCTGTGTCTTTAGAGGCATGATAGCCTGACATCAATCCCAGGGAAAATTCTCAAGCAAATTATAAAGCAGTCACTCTACTACCACCCTGAAAACAATGCAGTAATAACTAGAAGCCAACGTGGATTTGTCAAGAACAAATCCTGCCAAACTAATCTATTCTCAAAGGCTTTCCTAATCAAGAACAAATCCTGCCAAACTAATCTTACTTATGTATTCTCAAAGGCTTTCCTAATTTTTTTATCAGGTAGACAGTGGGATTACTGTAAATATATTTGACTTCACCAAAGCCTTAACAGGTAGACAGTGGGATTACTGTAAATATAATATATATGACTTCACCAAAGCCTTTAATAAAGTGCCTCATGATATTCTGATTATCAAGATAACTGGATGTGGGCTGGACAAAGCAACTGTCAGGTGGATATATAGCTGGTTACAAAATCATACTCAGAGAGTGCTTATCAATGGCTCCTTCTCAAACTGGGAGGTGGTGGCCAAAGTGGGGTACCACAGGCTCAGTCCTGGGCCCAGTGCTCTTCAACATTTTATTAACGACTAGGATGAGGGAGTGCAGGGAATACCAATCAAATTTGTGGATGACACAAAATTGGGTGGAGTAGCTAATACCTTGGAAGACAGAAACAAAATTCAAAAATACCTTGATAGGCTTCAGCACTGGTCTGAGAACAAGTACAATTTTTTACACCTAGGGAGAAAAACCAAATGCATAGTGACAAGGGGGGGGGGCTTGGCTCAGTAGTACTACAACTAAGAGGGATCTTAGAATTGCTGTATATCAAAAGCTGAATATGAACCAACAGTGTAATGTGGCTGCAAAAAAGGCAAATGCTATTTTAGGCTGCATTAACAAAAGTATAGTCTCCAAATCTTGTGAAGTACTAATCCCCATTGATTCAGCACCGGTTAGGCCTCGTCTAGAATACTGTGCCCAGTTCTGTACACAGCACTTTAAGAACGATGCCAACAAAATGGAGGAAGTTCAGAGGAGATCAAGAAGGAGGATCAGGGGACTGTAATTCAAGTTCTATGAGGAAAGACTGAAGGAACTGGTCATGTTTAGCTTTGAGGAAAAGAAGACTGAGGGGGAGCTATGATAGCACAGAGTGGGGGCAGGATCTGTTCTTGATTATCTCAGAATGCAGAACACATAATAATAAATAGGCACAAGCTACAGGAAGCCAGATTTAGGCTGAATATCAGGAAAAACATATTTTATTGTTATTTTCCAAAACAAATACACCAATACAAAACACAAAATACTGATTAACAATCTAAAACCCAGTGCATTCCCATACCCACGGGACCCTTTGGAGTAATTCTTTTATTACAAACCTCTTTATCAGGAAAAAACTGCTTAACTGTTAGAGCAGCATGACAATGAAATCAATATGGAACTTGTTTAATAATTTTGGCAAGGATTACATGTCACTCACATTTCTTTTAATTGTGCTGGCTAGCTCATCATATTCTGAACACTCCAACTTTAAAATTTTGGGCAACTAGCCTTATATATCCATTGAATCCCCTACAAAAGCCTTGTGAACAGGGTAGTTTAATTGCCTTAGATAAGCTTCATCAGGAAGCACCCTATTAGGTGGAGAAACCATGGGTGGCGGTGGTGGAATCTGCTAGCTCCAAAAAAAACTTTTCTTATATGGCAAAGAAATTGGTAAAATAAAGCTGTTTCATGTTTTGCTTACCTTATTTTTTTGTGACATGCTTGTGGTTTTTTTAAAAAAAACAAATGTAGGAACTGCTTTGCTGGTAGCAGAAACTGTACTCAGTGAAAAGCGAACAAGCCCTGCTAGAGCTGTCTTACAGTCCCTCTCTATGACAGAAGGCAAGCAAAGAAGTGGCTTGGAATACAAACAATTACTGGAGAAACATGGATTCGCCAATGTGCAGATTAAGATTACAGGAAACCTGTTAGATGCTATTTTGTGCTGTAAGAAAACATCTGCTCATTAAACTGGATGTCACATAACTGAGACATTTCAGTGTAGCGATGAGTAGCTAGAATTAGCATACATGTTTCAACTACAGTTTAGGGTTGTTCTAATTATTGTTTTTTTGTTGTTTGTGAACTGTGTATGAAGCTTATCCTACGTCTGTTGATTAAAGCTTTACTAAGTAAATTGCCCAATGACTTTCTTTACCTTGCTAAAAACTGTCTGCTTCTTTCTGCAACTGATAGCAATTTGTGGTTCTAAATGTACTCTGCTTTCTTTCCTGTATTTATTTCATTTATATGACATCTACCTCACAAAAATATTTGAAAATATATACATGAATTATAAAGAAGCAATGACATGAGAACATTAACTTAGAATAATTAATTTAGAATAATTAAACTTTTTAAAGTGCAGCATCTCCTGCTGAAAGTGCCTTTCTTCGTATTCTGCTCAGAAGTTAAATGCTTGTGTAAAAAAATACGGGCAAGAATCCTAAAGCTTACATGTGCTTCTGTAAGTGCAGTAGTGTAAATCGGAATGGAAAAGTATTACTGATAAAGGAGTTTCCACTTGTATTCTTCATTACAGCAACTCCTTAATTAGTCATGGCCTGCCTCAGGATTAGGGATGTGGTGGTGCTGCGGATTAAACCACAGAAGCCTCTGTGCTGCAAGGTCAGAAGACCAGCACTCATAAGATTGAATCCACATGATGGAGTGAGCTCCCATCACATGTCCCAGCTCCTGCCAACCTAGCAGTTCGGAAGCATCTAAAATGAAAGTATATAAATAGGTGGGAGGGTAACGGTGTTCCGTATCTAGTCGCGCTGGCCACGTGACCATGGAAACTGTCTTCGGACAAACGCTGGCTCTATGGCTTGGAAACGGGGATGAGCACCATCCCCTAGAGTCGGACACGACTGGACTAAATGTCAAGGGGAACCTTTACCATTACCTGGCTCAGGATTAAATCACCATGAACCCAAGATTGACACATGAGTAATGCTGCTACCACTCCTTTTGGAGAGAACCCCCAAAATACTTCCAAAATTGTAGAATGACCAAGTGGAAAGACTGGATGTCAGTCTGCAGAAACATTTAAGACTACAGAAAAGGGAATCTTCATACACATTAATAATACACATACACTATTGTAGTGAACGGAAATAAGTACTTCTGATAAATAGCATGAAGGAGAACCTTTTGCTTTATGGGATGGAAAATGACAAAAAATAATTTCACGCTTATTGCAGATTGCAGTCATACTTGCTATTAAGTATATAGTACTTGGCTGTTTTACTTTTGGTTGTTTTGTCGCCAAATCAGTTTTCTATTCTATTGGGTACACTGTTTTGTTCTGTGGCCAAAACAAATTGAACAAGCAGAGGGAGGAATGTTCATCTATATCTTTAACCACAAGTGTTAACTTGGAGAGTGGCAAGCTAGCTCTGATTTTAAATACAGTGCCAAAATGATTTACAATATGATCCTAAGTGCACTTATGGAAGAATGTTACCCATTGAACATACTGGGAGATACGAGGGGGTGCTGATAAGTATTGAGCCTTTCCCAGAAAAAATTGAGCTAGGAAGCTGTTAACTCCCACACTATTCTACATATTCCCCCAGGAAGTCAATGCACTTGTGACATCTGCACTGCAGCTTCTTAAGTCCTTGCAAATAAAATTCTTCCGACTGCTGGTGTAACCACTCATTTTCAGCATTAGTTGCCTCCAAATCATTGTCCCTTTCGCTGTTTTTTGAGTTTGGGGAACAGATAATAGAAGGAGCCAGGCTGGGAGAATAGGGTGGATGGGGCATCACTTGAAAGCCTAAGGACGTCAGTTTTGTCATTGTTTCACCTGCAGTGTGTGAGGAGGCGTCATGCAACAGGATGAAGCCTTTGGAGAGCTTCCCTCAACGTTTTTCTTTGATTTTTGCCTCAACTTCATCAATAAAGCACAGTAATATTTTGCATTGATGGTTGAACCCTGTTGGAGGTAGTCCACCAGCAGAACTCCCTTCATATCCCAAAAAAAACACACCTGTTGCCATTTGCTTCTGCACCAACCTTTGCACTCGGAACTTCTTTGGCCTGGGGGAACCACTGTGCCCCCATTCCTTAGACTGTTCCTTTGTCTCAGGATCATAACAGTACATCCATGTCTCATCACCAGTTACCAGTTTGCCCAGGAAATCTGACTCATTTCTTACAAAATATTCCAAAACAGCCACCGATGACTCCACACGTTTCCTCTTTTGTTTGGTTGTCAAAAGTTTGGGGATCCACTTTGCTACCAGCTTTCTCATTCTCATTTTCAAGTCATTGTGGATAATGGCACCAATCTCTCACTGGATATTCTTAGATAAGCCACTGGCAATGGTGCGGCTAAAAAATATTGTAAATAAATAATAAATAAATATATAATTAAAAAAACAAACAGCTGGCACAATCCATGCATAGCACCAATCTCTCACTGGATATTCTTAGATATATAATTTAAAAAAAAAACAGCTGGCACAATCCATGCATAAAGAAGGGCAAAGATCCTTCGGAGATAATAAGGAACACATGATGCAACCATGTGATTTCAATTTCTGCCACAGGAACATTTCTCCTGGAAGTTTTCATGTTGCTTAAATTGCCACATTGTATAAGAACAGCCTTCTCAGCCTGATGCCTGCCACATTTTAAACACCAATTGGCCACAGCCAACATGATCCATGTTTGGGATGAAACCGCATCAATAGTAAGGTACTGTTAAAGTCATGGTTTCACAGTAGCCCTATAAATCCATTTTCCTGCTCTTGGGAGTTGCGCAAATTAATAGAGACCTGAATACTATGAACAGTTGTCAAAAGGCGCCTAGAGTGGTCACTATGACCAGATAGGCGGGGTATAAATAGAATAAATAAATAAATGTTTTTACTTTATGCAGAGGCGAACACTTTGTAGATGATGTTTGATTTGAACTGCCATCAGTTATAGCCAGAACAGTTAATAATGAGTGATTACTGCAACTAAAGCATACACAAGTGCAGGGGTCCCCAACCCCTGGTCTGTGACCCGGCAGGGGTCCGAGGCCTAGGCAGGACCAGGCCCTTGACAGAGATCTCCTGCCCCCCGCGAGCACCCCCCACAAACGCAATACAACCCCCGTGAGCGGTGCCACGCCGCCCGCAAGCGTGACATGCCCCCCAACTGGCCTGTGGTTGGGAAAAGGTTGGGGACCACTGCACAAGTACATTCTGAGTATAAAAACACACATACAGTTGAAGGAAGGCTGGACTGGAGAAATCCCAAGCCGGAATTAAGATTGCTGGAAGAAATATCAACAACTTCCGATATGCAGATGATACCACTCTGATGGCAGAAAGTGAGGAAGAACTAAAGAACCTTCTAATGAGGGTGAAAGAGGAAAGTGCAAAAAACGGTCTGAAACTCAACATCAAAAAAACTAAGATCATGGCCACTGGTCCCATCACCTCCTGGGAAATATAAGGGGAAGATACGGAGGCAGTGACAGATTTTACTTTCTTGGGCTCCATGATCACTGCAGATGGTGGCAGCAGCCATGAAATTAAAAGACGCCTGCTTCTTGGGAGGAAAGCAATGACAAACCTCGACAGCATCTTAAAAAGCAGAGACATCACCTTGCCAACAAAAGTCCAAATAGTCAAAGCTATGGTTTTTCCTGTAGTAATGTATGGAAGTGAGAGTTGGACCATAAAGAAAGCTGACCGCTGAAGAACTGATGCCTTTGAATTGTGATGCTGGAGGAGGCTCTTGAGAGTCCCCTGGACTGCAAGGAGAACAAACCTATCCATTCTAAAAGAAATCAACCCTGAGTGCTCACTGGAAGGACAGAAAGTTGAGGCTCCAGTACTTTGGCCATCTCATGAGAAGACTCCTTAGAAAAGACCTTGATGTTGGGAAAGTGTGAAGGCAAGAGGAGAAGGGGACGACAGAGGATGAGATGGTTGGACAGCGTCATCGAAGCAACCGACATGAATTTGACACAACTACGGGAGGCAGTGGAAGATAGGAAGGCCTGGCGTGCTCTGGTCCATGGGGTCACGAAGAGTCGGACACGACTAAACGACGACGACAGTTGAATAACAAGCACAGCTGGTCATCCAGTGTACTTCATTTATTTATTTATTTTCTTTAAAACATTTTACCCTGTCTTTCTCCTTAAAAATGGACACAAGGCAGCTTACAGCATTTGAAGACAATATTTAAGAACAAAACAATGAGTATACAAAGGTGGCGTACATTATTAAAAGGCAATATTTAAAGCTAAAAACACTTGAGTCTAGAAATATTAAAAGGCAACAAACAAAATACTCCTCTTAAAAATGGGAAACACAAGCAATACTAAAAAGAGTCAAAACAATCCATCTAAAAAGATCAGACTCAGGCTGCCAGTCATTGAGGGAAAGCTTGCCTGAAGAGAAGTGTTCTATTGTTTTGACACAAAAAAGGTGAGTTATAAAAGCTTCAATCCTGAAAGGTGATACAATGGGCATTTGTTAAATGGGAACCATTCATTTCAAAGGATGAATATAAAGCATTTTATCAATGCAGTTTTTAGAATTTGGAAATTAGAAACTACTTACACTAACTGGCTTTTATTGTCTCTCAAGGGGTGGCCATTCATAACTTTGCCACTGGGTGAGCATAGTCACACTAGCACATACTGTCAAGGCAGACTGCTGACAAGCAGGAGTGAATTTTGTGGCATCTTTCTTTCAGCAAATAAGAAAGTGGAATTTACAGCATACCATACTACTAATTTCCTCTTCAAGAACAAATAAGGCCAGGAATACAACCAATCTGGCATAATGAATCTTACCATTTAACGTAAACCATGTAATTACTTGTTGATATTGAAGCTGTCAAGGAGAGGGACCTACTGCTTTTAGTTCATGAATTCACAAGCAACATCATATACGTCCCAGGCTGAAGCACTTCTTTGCAACAGAGCCAGCCAAAGATATTTTAGGGCCTGAGGCAGAAAATCCAGATGACTTACTTTTCATAAAATAATGTCATGATATAAACTTTATATTATAAAGTAACTATTTGATGTCATTTTACTATGAAATCTTTCAAGCAGCAATCTGCCCCATGGTAGGGTTAGGGCCACCAGGGCTGTTAAAACATTACTAAACTCAAAAGATCATTATACACTTGAAGTAAGAGTTTAAAAATTCTATTACTTTGACCAGTGACGCAGAAATGCTGTTGAAAGTTACTGTTCATGGAATGTTTTACTGCAGTTTTTTTTTTACATGACACTTATTTTCGAGACAATGACAGAAACACTATGCCTATCATCCTGGACTAAAACTCGTAGACTCAAACTATTTCCCCATCTTACCCCGGAGAAAAATAACTACAATTTTTATAGGATCATAACATTATTTATTTACAAGATTTTTTTTAGCCACGCCATTATCAATGATCTCTGAGTCCTTAAGATGCTACAATGTTTTTTGGCCTTTTTTTAATTTTTGCCTGACATTACTTATCTAGATTACATTTTACATTTCCCAGATTGCTGCCAGGGGCTACGTAAGGAGTGACGTTATTGAAGGTGAAGTCCAAAAAACCCCAAACCAAAGTAGAACCAGTAACAGCAGTACAAATACTAACGAAGTAGGTCTTGCTGGCAGAGTATTTCTGTTTCAAACAAATGTTATTTGGGATCAAAGGAGGCAGACATCATCCTTTACCTTAAGTGGGGGAAAAACCCCTCAAAGGGACTTACTTTGACTTTCAGACATACGGGGCGGACTAAAGCCACCCCTCTCGCTTGTTCCCCCCGTTTCACACAAAGCACTGGCTAGTATGGTAAATCCTTCTTGGGCAACCTGACAATCCGTCCCAGTCCATCCGGGCTTGGTAGCGGGTTACTCGCGCCCGGCACCGCCGTTCCTCACCAGGCGGCTGCGAGAAGGCAAGCGCCTCCTGACAGGGTCGCGGAGGGGCTGCCGGAAAAAGCCCCCGCTTCCCCGCCGACGAATCCCGTGGCGAGGCTCCCTCCCGCCGCCGGCTTCCTCGCCAATGGTGGCAGGCAGGCGGAGCCTCCCCCGCGCCGGCCTTTTAGCGCCTGAGCGAAGGCGGCCCTTTCCTTTCGGTGTCTTGCGCTGCGGCGGCGGCGGCGACACGGTCCTAGCCCCCCTCCTTCCCCCTCTACGGCCTCTCCCGAGCCAGTGTTCCCAGCATGGCAGACGCTGCGATTTCTTTCCTGAAGGACTTCCTGGCCGGCGGCGTCGCGGCGGCCATCAGCAAGACGGCCGTGGCGCCCATTGAGCGGGTCAAGCTGTTGCTTCAGGTCGGGAACCCTCGCGGCCGGTTAGGGTGGAAAAGGGGGTAGGCTGCGTGGCGTTTGGGAGAGAACGGCGTCAGGGGAGGGGGCGTGAAAAGTTGTAGGCCCCTTCCATGCCTTTTGTTAGGTGACGTTTGTGGGGAATTACTGGGGAGCCCCCGAATTGCCTTCATGCCGCGGAAAGGAGGGACAAATGGGACGGTTCGCTCCGTCCAGGTGGCGCGCGCGTAATTTAAGGCCGCTCCCGTTATAAAGGCCGTTGGTGGGGAGTGGCGAGGTCACGAGGAAGGTTATCTTCCCCTCCCCTACAGAGCGCGCAGTCTTCTCTTTCCTCGCTGCTTGAGTCAGAAAGAGGAAAGGCGGGCGCACAGAGAAAGAGAGGTCGGAAGGAGGAGTCTGCCGCCATCTTCCGAGGTCACGAGGAAGGTTATCTTCCCCTCCCCTACAGAGCGCGCGGTCTTCTCTTTCCTCGCTGCTTGAGTCAGAAAGAGGAAAGGCGGGCGCACAGAGAAAGAGGTCGCCATCTTCCTTCCGGCGACGTATCTTTGATTGGCGCCGATGTGGACGAGTGATCGAGTCCTCAGAGTGGTGAGGTGGCGGCCTTCCCTGCCTCTTCCTGTTGCAATCTCGCGCGACTTATCTAAAAAACGATGTCCCCGCCCTTTGCAGCGCGTGTGAGGGGACGGACGCATATAGGGCTGCGGTTCTCTTCGGCCCCGCCCCCTTGGCCCCCATTGGTTGAGCGTGCAAAGAGTTGCCCGGGCGGTTTTTGTATGTGTTTGCGCGCGTAAATGCTCGCTGTCTTGCAGACTAATTGCGGGGNGGGGGGGGGGGGGGGGCTTGTACTTAGTTTCTTATTTGGTGGACTCGAGAATGTATTGTAAAGGGTTGGCGCCAAACCCAGATTTTATTCAAACAAAAATAGACCTTTTGAAATAATTCAGAATATGTTCTTTCGACTGCGGGGGCTACACTTGCATTTCCTTTTATCTGCCATGGAAACTGATGGTGGGTTGGAACTGGTGAAACCCTCCTTAAATACCTTACTTACCTTAAAAATCCTATCAAGGTTGCTATAAATCAGTTCTGAGGTGATACATAGCAGCTACAGTGCTTTATGATGTAGTGCTTTTTCTTTGCCTGTTTAATAAAATACCTAAAAAATAAATTTCAAAGTAATCATCGTAAAAAGCAATATAATGCCCTGTGACGGTTGAAACTAAATGCAAGTATTTAAAACCATTTAAAACACACATTGCAGTTTAATACAATGAAAACGATGGTGACTTTTGTATGTGTAAGAGGTTTACATCTATATAAATGGATTCACCATCAAAGGAATAAGATTTCAAATAAACCTAAGCAGGGTTTATTGAAAAGTAAATAATATTATTTTCAACAATACAGGACTGTGGTTTTATTGGTCGTACATTTTTGAAAATGCCCATATTTTACCATTAGAAAAAGGCATATATTTGTATGGCTTCTTGTTCATACATATAGATTGGAAGACGGCAGCAATTCATTCATATTTTCTCCACTCTGGCTTCCCTGCATTTGCTGCCTGTTCGTTTCCGCATTGATTTCAAAGTGTTAATGATGACATATAAAGCCCTAAACGGTTTAGGGCCTCGATATCTAGTGAAACGCCTCTTCCCACCTACATCTACCCGAATCACTATTTCTGGCCAAGACAGGAGGCTGAGGGCCTAATGCTAAGGGAGGCCTGAAGAGAAAGAACAAGAAACCGGTCCTTCTTGGCAGTGGCCCCTTCCCTCTGGAACAGTCTATCTGCAGAGATCTGCCTGGCTCCCTCGCTGGGTGTCTTTAAGAGCAAACTTAAGACCTGGCTCTTTAGGCAGGCTTTCCCTCCTGGCATCACCTAATTACTTTTGCCATATTGAATTATATCATTACAGTTGTCTGTCTTTTATTATATTGTTATTGTTAGCCAACCAGAGTACACTTCGGTCTAGATGGGCGGGGTATAAATTGAATGAATGGATGGATAAATAAATAAATACTATATTATAATTTGAAACTAGCATTTATCAGTTGAGGTTACTTTTAACATTGAAAAAATGAGAGATTACTACCTCGCCTTTGAAGCTGTTTTTTCAGTATGGATGCTTGAACTGTTAGTTTGCATGAGATCTTCAGGGGCCTTCATTCTCATAGGTAATCTGAGATCTTAGGTCTCTAAATTATACATTCAAAGCTGAATCTGAAAGGACAGATTCTGGCCATAAAGTTTATCTTGTGGGTAATGTTTATCTGAATGATTAAAAAAAATTCTAATTATGAAAATCTTTTTTTTTCTGACAGGTGCAACATGCAAGCAAGCAAATTGCTGTTGACAAACAGTACAAAGGAATAATCGATTGTGTAGTGCGCATTCCTAAAGAGCAAGGATTTCTGTCTTTCTGGCGTGGGAATTTTGCCAATGTTATCAGATACTTCCCAACTCAGGCTCTCAACTTTGCATTCAAGGATAAGTATAAGCAAGTGTTTCTTGGAGGAGTAGACAAGCACACACAGTTCTGGAGGTATTTTGCTGGTAACCTGGCTTCTGGTGGTGCCGCTGGAGCAACCTCTCTCTGCTTTGTCTATCCTTTGGATTTTGCAAGAACCCGTCTGGCTGCTGATGTTGGAAAAGCTGGTGCTGACAGAGAATTCTCAGGTCTAGGGGACTGCCTAGTCAAAATCTTCAAGTCTGATGGCCTGCGTGGCTTATATCAAGGTTTCAATGTTTCTGTCCAGGGCATAATCATCTATAGAGCTGCCTATTTTGGGATCTATGACACAGCAAAAGGTAAATTAGATGTTCAGGCTGATGTTTTTAAAGGATAACAGACTGGTGCAATTAAAATAGACAGACATGTCAATGTAATAATTTTCTTGCTTGCTCACGACCTATAAGATTCATCATGCATTTGGTTTACAGAATTACACAAATTGTCTGAAAAGCGTTGAAGACTGCTTTTCTTGCTAAGAAAAGTTATTTTCCAAAGAAATATAAATAGAATATGTTATTGATTACTGACATTTAATGGTGAAAAGATTTTACTACATTTTTTGGTAAATATTTTACCTGCTTAGATAATTTGCAGGTAGATGTCAGTGAAATGTCTTTTCTGTGATCTACTGAATTGCTGTTATTTTACCACTGCCAGCATCCTCAACTTGGCAGTACATGCTGCTTACAGTGTTAGATGGAGATTCAGATGTTAAGGACAATACACATCTTCAAATGCTAGAGACAGTGCTGTTAGGTACATTGCATGTGTTGAATTAGATGATGGAGTTTAAAAACACAGTTTCCTGAGCTATTGATCTTTTATAGCTCGGCCAATAATGTTTCAGCAGACAGAATGGTTGTGAATTTTTTTTACAATATAATTTTGAGTACAAAAAATGCACCCTATCTTTTCACTTGTTGGGAAGCTGTTTACATTTTCCTCTCCAGAAAGGGTAAAAGCCTGCGCTGCTTTCGTTGCAGGTATGCTCCCAGATCCTAGGAACACTCACATTGTGATTAGCTGGATGATTGCACAAACAGTGACTGCAGTCGCTGGTGTGGTCTCTTATCCCTTCGACACAGTCCGACGTCGAATGATGATGCAGTCTGGGCGTAAAGCAGGTAAGTAGCTCTTAGAATAATCTTTTACGTGTTTGTTTTTAAAATATGATCTGGTTTTAGCTTGGTAAGGCTTTAAGCCTCGCATGCTCATTAACAGTCAATTAGAAAATTAAGATACATGGCAGAATTTAATCAGTCCCACCTAGAATGAGTCCACTGAAATGAATGGAACAAATTAGGCCTGACAGACAAGTCTCATTCATTTGATTTGAACTGCTCTAAGTATGTAGTCATACTACACGTTCTACAGAATCCTACTTAGTGGGAAATTTAGTCCTTATGCTTGAGGTCCAACAGTTTCATTGAATTGTGTTTAACAAATGCAGTGAAAGCCTACCACTTTGGTTTCAGTGACAGGGATTAGAAGCACGCATTATGTGATTTGTAGAAGTGGCACTTGGAAATCAAACTTTTTTTCTGTGTTTAAGACCTTACAATATGCCCTTACAAAACAAAACCATTTTGAACTGATCCTGGAAGATAGTCCAGAAGCCTGAGAAGATGGCAAAGGGCTAGTGTCATCAGTTCATTTATTTGAGCAGGTGCAAAAAGGCCTTGTCTGTTTGAATGGTTTTCTGATGACAATGTGCCTCTTCTAGTCCTCTGTTATCTTAAGTGGAAAACCCTTTCTTTCTTGAGACTGCCCATGATTAACCTGGAAATCAAGGTTAACACCTTTTTGTCAGTCTTTCCCTCCTGTTGCCAAATATTGCAAGATAACACCTCTAAAAAGTGGAAAGTTACAAAAAAGTATGTTCCTTAACTTTCATTGCTGTATCATTTTGAAAGGAAGCCCTGCATGGGTTGTATTTGCCAAGATGCAGAGAACTAAAGCACAACTCTGTCCTAGGCTGGTACGAGCACTGAGCCATAAGAGGCCGTCTGTGCCTGTAGAGACATGAGCACTTCTGTGCTACAAATGTAGGCCTTGGGAGAGTACATCTCCTTTCCAGGACAGGTTAAACACTGTTCACATGGGCAGATGATCCATCTCTAATGGGTAGCAACCTGGTGCCTCTTCAGTTTTCAAATAGTCAAAGAATGCTGTGCTAGCTCTATAGTGCTTTAGGACAATATTGCAGTCTTGTCTGGATTGAGCTTCTGCTTGGAGACCATTACAGTGTCATGGATCTGAATCCTCTACTGTCTGTCTTGATTTTGATGGGAGACTGGAGAGGGGGAAGCAGATTGGTGACAGCACAGTCTGAACCACCACCACCTTTGGCAACTTCATGTATGCCTTAAACCAGAGGTTCCCAACCCCTGGTCTGCGGTGAGTGGGCTTCCCGGAGCTGAGCCACGGAGACGGATGTCCACCCACCTCCCCAGTGGGCGTGTCGTGCTTGTGCAGGGGGCGTGTCGTGCTCACACACATGCACGCAAGCGTGACACACACACCCATGCACTGAGCCCTCCCCACAACCAGTCTGCAGTCCCAAAAAGGTTGGGGACCACTGCCTTAAACAGCATGAGTGATGAAATAGAACCATCTGAGGTGCTGAAGTGTAAACACAGTGCATTATCACCTTCAAGAAGTGGCTGTTCTGATATTACAAGATTACTGAAGAGCAATTCCTGTAATTTAAGTGCAGATGACCTGTGTCAGTGATGCTAAAATTGCTGACAGATCTAGAGAGAAAAAAGTTTCATTTTCCATTTTTCTTGTGGCAGAGATTACCATGTAGGACAACTGAGGCAGTTTCTTTATGATACCAGGTTAAAAATGAGATATAGAAAATTAGCTTAAGCTAAGAGTTCTTAGAGTTGCCTAAAAATGACTTACTTGGGTACCTTGCTCAGGAAGGCAGATAGATGTTGCATCCTTCAAGACTACAGTCTGGAATCTGTAAAATCAGCCTATAATGAAAGTTGCTTTTAAATTTCTCAAAAATGATGTACTGGTCTTGTTTTTGAAATTAAATGTTATATATGGAACATCTTTTTCCCACAGGTGAGATCATGTACACAGGAACAATTGACTGTTGGAAGAAGATTGCAAGGGATGAAGGTGGAAAAGCATTCTTCAAGGGTGCATGGTCTAATGTTCTTCGAGGCATGGGTGGTGCCTTTGTGCTTGTATTGTATGATGAGTTCAAGAAAGTAATCTAAAAAACCTTGCTAAATTGTAAGTTAAGTTGACAGATCACATAGAAAACTTGCCATTATGGACCATTGACCTTCAAAGAAATTCCTGTGCAAACCCTTATTTATCGGGGCCAGATCATGTTTAAGTAGGACTAGAAATTGCGTTCAGTGAACAGACACATTTTGAAAGAGCATTATTCAGGCATTGAAACAGACAGTTCAGCTCACTAGATTTGTCTGTTTTGAGTATTGCAGTGGTAACAATTCAGGGTCCAAGACAGTTGATCTACAGTTTTCTGGAGATCAGGTGAAAGTTTCAAGTCCTATCTTACAGGACCATAAAATCATGTTTTGAGAAGTATTTGTTTAACAAATCATGTCTTTCCACTTTTACTTTAAGCACTATGTACTGTTTTTCGCAGCTGAGCATTTAGCATTTGTGCTCTCAAATTTGGGGCATTCCATGAAACAATAAATATTAACTCTGTGTGGAATTTACTGTTACACCTTGCTTGACATGCATGACTTGCCTTGCAACGCAGGCTGTTGGCTTCAGGCAGCACTGTTGCAGGCCAGGAGTGAGTGGGTGGGTGGAAATGCAATCAGGAATTGGTGAAGACTTACCTGCTGCTCCTGTGTTTTGGAGGAGCGACTTAATTTGGGCTGCACTCCGGGGAGTGGAATATCTTGTAGTAGCACTTCCAACGTTGCACTCCACCACAGGATATCTTAATATGTAGACACTTCCATGTTGTAAATGCAGTCTATTTGGGATTTGGTTCAGAAAGTCTGACTACCTTTAGGAAACGTATCCAGAATAGTTTGACCTAGGCCCTGAGGATCATGTTCTGAATGTTGAGAAAACCGAAGTTGCAAATAAAATGCTAATAAAATGATTTGCAATTATTTCTGTAATTGGACTGATAATAAGCAGCTTGTCAAAGCATGGCAATAACAGGTAGCTGCTACAAATGTTTTCGTATTGTCAAATGATCAAAATAGATTAAATCATGCTTCAGAAAAAGCATTTCTATAAATGAGTGGTTTGCAGAATTCTTTCAGATGCACTGAAGAAATTTTAAGTTTGGTTATGTTTACATCGGATTTAATCATTGTGCTTCTTTGAGAGAGCTGTGTGTATTGCTTGTTGGGTGGAGAAGTTTCTTATATTTTGACAGTGAACTACTGCTTTACAACATGATCAGTATTTTTGTATAACAAATAAGGCTTGATAAGCCAAATTGCCTAAAGAGATGTTTCTATGAAGTTAGGAGTCAAAAGTAAAACTAATGAAAAGACAGCTGTAATTATGTACATGCTTAACTTGTTTATAATGGTTTTAAAAAACAGATTGCTATGGCAACCTGTCTCAGCCTTAGTGGATGCTGGCATGCATATGTTGGCTGAGGTATTGTTTTAGGCCTGTGCTGTTGCCTCATCATCAACCACTATAAATGCAAGCAGGTAAGGTCCTTGAATTATCCTGACAGGAAAAACACGTAGCCAGGTTTGCTCTTATATGTGTTAGATGCCAGGGTTGTGGGGTTTTTTGATGGAACCAAGTGGATTTTTTAAAAAAGGATGAAAAAAGGCATTGGGAGGGAATACTAACATAAGTTGACGGAGCCTCCTAGAGTGGTCATGTCAACCAGATAGGTAGGATATAAATAGAATAAATTAAAAAATAAAGTATGCCTGAGAGAATATTTGGAGTTGCAGATGTTTATGTACAGCTTTGTGTCAGAAAAATTCAGTGGTTTTCAGAAAGATTAACAGGGTGCTGTTGTTGCATGGAGGGACATGGTGGCTCTGCGGGTTAAACTGCTGAAGCCTCTGTGCTGCAAGGTCAGAAGACCTGCAGGCATAAGATCGAATCCACGCAACGGAGTGAGCCCCCGTCGCTTGTCCCACCTCCCGCCAACCTAGCAATTTGAAAGCATGCAAAATGCAAAAATGCGAGTAGATACAGTAAATAGGTACCACCTTGGTGGGAAGGTCAATGGCATTCTGTGTCTAGTCACACTGTCCGCGTGACCATGGAGAATTGTCTGCGGACAAACGTTAGTTATGTGGGTTGGAAACTGAGAGGAGCACTGCCCCCTAGAGTCAGACACGACTGGACAAAATTGTCAAGGGTTGTTGCCTGGGGGATTCCAACATGTTCTCACATTCTTTGGGAATGAGGAGTAAGATCTTCCCGTGAATGCATGATGACTGTTGCATGCCCATCTTTCCAATATTGAAGTACTGTGTACCTCTTGCCAATGGCAAGAGAACAAAAGATCTTGCTAGATTGACCACTGTTTCTGAGCCACACAAATGTAAATACATGTGTGTCTTCAAATGCCTAAGATTTTTCAGATACAAAACTAATCTGCAGCAATACTGATCAAAAAGAGGCTGCTGTTAGACATGTCCACATCAGATGCCTCAACGAAGTGAGTTGATGAAGCAGAAGTTGGGACATTACAGACTCCATTTAGTTTGCTACTAATGATTCTTGTAAAATTGATAAATACAGTACACTTAAAGTGTAACAGTTAACCTCAGGGCAGTATGGTATCTTGCGTTCTTTCAGTGCTGAGAGAAAAGATGAGTGGAAGGGAAAGAACTGACTCTGGATACATTGTTCTGATGCAAAATCTGTTTCCTGCCCTGCTCTCAAACTAGAACAAAAAAAGAAAAGCTCAATGTTCTACTAAAAACCACATTGTAAAATCCTACAAGGTCACAATTCAGTAGATCTTTCATGTGCATATAACCACCTGTTAAGAAAAGTAGAGGTTACTTCTGAGTGGTGTGGAGGACTCTAAACAATTCTAAGATAGAAGCCCTAGAACAAGCCAGAAAGGACTAGTTTTTGAAGAAGTAGCCCTGTTACTCTGTAAGCACATCAAATATAATAAATTAGTAAGTTATGTTGCAGCATCTTAAACGACTGGTTGGAAGGCATATTTGGATTCAGAAACTGTTTAAAACTAACTTCAGATTGAGAAGACACTGGAAAGAGCTTCCTGTCTTAATCCTTGCTTCTGCTTTTCCTCAAAGCACAGAGGTCTGAAATAGATCCTGGGAAGTTCGGGCTCCAATTTTTAGGAGGCCCACAACAGTTCTCTCGGGACAACAGATGGCTCTTTCAGGAGCAGGGCCATAATAATGAAATAATTCCATCAGCATCATGGGCAGACCCAGTGGATTTGTTCAGAAAATGTACAGATCTTCTTTTTTATATTGGCCACATGCATACACAGGAAATAAACAGCAACCATTTCCTCCGGGTGCAGCTTGCAGAGGAAACATAGCCTGCTCTCCTTCCACTGCCTGTAAAACGACTACCTGGATTCCCAGCAGTTACACTTTTGTCTCTGTGTGCACACACAGTTTTAAAGGAGGAGAGAGTTAAAAGAGCATCTTTCTAATCCATTAGGTTTTCTTGTTGGAAAAGGTCTCATACATTTTGCAATAATCATTTCCTCAAACTGCTTTCCCTGCCATTGGCCTTTCATATCAAGTCTGTTTATGCTTTCCATAACAGAGACCAAAAAAACCACAAACCCTTGGATTAATTCCTCAGGCTTGTGACTGTTTTGCTCCTATTTTTGTGTTATAGCTCGAAGCAAAGTTCTACATGGCCAGCTCAGTCACAGCTTTCTGATGTCCATTTTATATTTATTTCCCTCAACATTTTGCCAACCATGGGGATTGCAATCTTGTTACATACTCATGCAGCATAATTCCAACAGTATAAATTTTGGCAGAAAATTGTCACCAATCAAGACATTGGCAATTGCTTTTCTTGTCACATGCCCAGTGCCTGCTTCTTAATTAGCAGCAGTTCACCACTGACATTGGGTCCTTTGTGACGAGGTAAAGGTCAGAATGGAACAGGCACTGCTTGTTAATAAAACTGATGCCAAAAATGGCAGGATGTGATGAGCACACATCAGAACCATATTTTAAATCTGAAAGTGACCCACCTGGGCAAGAACAGGTGGCCATTGCCGGGAGGCTTCCATGCTGCCCTGGCACTGGGCAACTAGCATTGCTGTTGTGAGTGGGGGGAGCCAATGGCTCAATTTTCGCTGCATTAAAACAGGACATGTCATAGGAGGAGTTTTGCTCTGGTTTGCAGATAACCTGCAGTAAAAAGCTTACTGTGGGTTGTGTGCAACATGTAGTTCCAGACCCAATAAGCCACTCTCTGCGTGATAACGTTGTTCTGCACCATCAAGTTGGAACCAACCTATAGCAGCTCTTACAATCTTGCAAGCAGGAAGAATAATTTGTTCATGCTGGAAGCCAACTGCATGGAAGTTCCCAAAACAACAGCACTTCTCTAATTTACTAGGCGTCATAGCTTGAGAGTTCAGGGATGTGGCTCATGCTTTTCACAGTTAGCAGTCACTTCTTCCACCACCGTGATTTTTTCATTTGCTGCCGCAGTTGATATCAAGTCCATCCATGCTTTCTACAAACAGAAACGGGGGTGGGGAAGAAATATTAGGGTTAATTCTAAAGAATCATGACTCTTTAGTCTCTTTTCTACATCAGCTCTTGGCAAATTTCGAGGACCTGATTGCAATGATGACATTACACGAGCACAAGAGAGAGAGTTTGTACCATTCATTACTCTTTAGTCTCTTTTCTACATCAGCTCTTTGCAAATTTCTGACATATCCAGTATATAAGCAAATCACACTACTGTTTACTTTGAGCTCTTCTTGTTTTCTCTAATGTACTAGTGATGAAAACATTTGACAGTAGCTGTTTGAAATGTGGCTTTTTACCCTCCTAATCAGGTTTTAAGTGTATACAACCAATTTAAAATTGTGTTTATTTTGAATGAAATCACTTGGAACTAGTGACTTGGAACTCACACTGGGCTATTCTTAATGAAATTAGTGATTTTGAGGACCTGATTGCAATGATGACATTGCACGAGCACAAGAGAGAGAGTGTGTACCATTCATTGTCTTAGAAGGTAAGTTGCCACAAAGCTGTTATGCTGATTCAGTCTGGGATGCTGGAGAGCAAGGGGGACCAGACATACCATACTGAGGTCTTTGGATGAACAGCAGCATACCAATGTAATAAAACATGTTTAAAAGCCTGCTTTTTTACAAAAACAATCCTAAGGGTGGCATATATTCTTAAATCTAGCTTTGTTTTACAAACTGTCATTAGTTGTATCACAATACAATGCAACAGAAGCAAAAGGAAGAAGGAAAGGAAAGGAAAGGAAGAAAAAGAAGGCAGGCAGGCATTTATATCCAGATGTCCTGTATACAGAATGAAACATCTAAGAAAACCTTGGTTTTTATCTTCAGCTTTTCCCAGTCACATGGACTGGACTAGTAAGTGACTCACTACATCCCCACTAATTCAATGGACTTACTCCAATGTGATTTCCTACAGCAAGAAAAACAATGGATGTGCAATTTAGATGTGAAACTAGCAGATTGGATTGGCACACAATCTCAGGTACTGAGGTCAGATCAGCTGCATAGTATTATAATAATTCCAGGCATCTTCATCAAAACACTTAACTAGGCTATATTTGTTGTTGTTTAGTCGTTATAACTAGGCTATATATGGAATTCTAAAATTGAAGAATCTGGAAGCATCCAGTAGAACCCAATGCGAAGTAGAGATAAATTGTGTAATAAAATAAAAATATGTTTTATTCCTCTTTGCTGAATAAAATACATTTCTGACAGCTCTGGACTGTCTTCTGTATTAGACAAAAGTCTTACTTTTAAATGTAATCTCACACATGCAAATTTCTGGAATAGGAATAATAGCAAAATTAATGACAGCTGATACCTAGCATTGAAAACAGATAAAGTTAGTTTATGACTTTAAGCATGGGAAAAAATCATTATCTTAACTCTTTAACAGAGATTATAACTGTGCACAGATCCCTGACTGATCTGGCAAATTTGGGACTTCTGGACGGATCCTGATTTGGCAATACCAACCAATACTTCCTTCTATTTTTGCCCCAGATCTAAACCAATTTGGAAGCCTCCCATTGACTAGCACTAGAAAACCAAAGTAGTTACAACCTTTTCTGTTTTTGCACTGATGTACATGAAATTCGGAGACATAATAGACCGTAAGGAGAGGAGTAAAACTACCTACTTACAGAAAGCCAGTTGCTGTGAATTACGTACTCATAATTAAAAATAATTACCAATTATATACTGTCAAGACAGTTTCAACTTATGGTAGCCCCAGGCTTTCTAGGTATAGAGTACTCAGTAGTGGTTTAGCAGTCTCTTTTTGATGGCACAGTGAAACCATGCAGCTTGCCCAAAGCCACTCAGATGGCACATGTAACTCCATCAGCCACACATTCTCCAGGGGATCTTGACAGGTTCCTCTCCCAGGAAGTCCAGTAGGACTTCAACTCCTAGCCCAGGTTCTGCAGCCAGGTGCTCCAGCCCACTGAGCTATACTAGTTTGTTTGTGTACTGGACACCTTTATGATTTCAGTTTTTGTTTTTTAAAAATAAAATGACTAAAGCAATTTATCACCCACCCATTCACTTTGTGATTCTGACACAAATTATTTTTTCTTTTAATTTGCTGTGAGCCATTCCAGATCAAAATCTATCTACTGTACTTCAGTCTGGCTTGAGTTAGGTCACTTTTCTGTTAGTACTTTGGGAGTTGTCAGAATCTAATGGATAGCCCTAATGGAGATGAGTGTTGCTGGATAAATCCAAGAACTTACCTCTGCATTCTTCTCACATTGGAGATAGATATCTTTGGGTTGTGGGATTGGACCATGTAATTTTTCCCATGTATGACATCTGTGGAGGAATGAGTGGGGGCATTAGCCATTGTCCCAGATCATCCTGTCCTCATTCATGCTTATTGTTGCACATACACAGTAGCCTGGATGGAAGCCCTGCACATGCTCAATAGGACATATAGTACATGGACTGACCAGCAGTGCCTTTTGACAAAGAAATTACAAGATTTTTACAAATAGGTCCTAAGCTGTTGCATTCTGAACCAACTCCAGTTTCTAAATGCTTTTCAAGGAACGTAGACCACATTGTACTAATTTAATAAATGAGGTAACTAATGCCTATGCCACCCTGACCCTATATGTTCCTCAGGAAGTGGACCTATTTGGTGGGATACTAGCCTTGGATAGAAAAAGGTATTCTAAATCCTGGGCACTCCTGAGATCTGAGTATCAAGGTTGATTTCACAGTAAACCCCAAACAATGAGGCTATGCTTTCAAAGCAGCATAACCCAGTACCACATTAAGTTGGACCCCAATTATTGCCCGCAGGAACTCAGAAACAAGCAAGATTAAAATCTTGGCATTCTATCTGCAGAGGAAAGCTATCTGAAATTCAGACTGCGGTCACACTAGAGAAAAGTGCCCTGTTTTCTCACGTCTTCTTCCTATAGAGTTATGTGCTGTGGTCACATGACCCGTGATACTGGTTCATACGTTTTTTAACTGTTCCACATTTTTTTGTTCAATGCGGTACGTTCGTCTACACCCCTGCAGCAGGGCATATCCCTTCCTCTTTTTGCGTATTTCTTTAACCCCCTTCCCTTTTTCTTTTTTTTTTTGCATATCCCTTCCTCTTTTTGTGTGTTTCTTTAACCCCCTTCCCTTCTTCTTTTTTTAAAAAAAATGTGTGCTGGTACATCGGTGTGTCAGCAAAACACCCTTGCTGGCCATGTACTTACCTGAGACATTTTTTCCTGTTTCTGCGCTGCGTTACCCTCAGTGGTGGAGAACCCACAGCCCTTTCAACAAGCATACCAACACACTAACGTCTCCATTAGAAAATTATTATTATTATTTAATTAAGGGAGTCAAACCGACAGCCAGTGGTGATGGGGGGACTGAATATGAAATGTAAAGGAAGTGTATCAGTTTTGTAGTACATACACTATGGAATGTCTGTTGTACTGTGTGATTAAACGTGGAATAAATACTGTAGTAGCCTCCCAGCAGGCTAGTTTCGATGTGGAAACAGTATGGAGGAGAAACAAAAAAATCGGTAATGACTGTGCATCATCTGAATTTTTTTTAAAAGGTTGAAACTCACAAGGAGTAACTCAGAAACATTTTGCTGGTGTGACCGCAGCCTCGATTTTTGACTTTGTGAACCAACAGGAAGCAGGCTGTCTTTTTTGTTGCCCATTTTGTGTGGGAGCTTGTGAGGAGTATTAGAATCTGCCTTCTGTTGTGAACATTTTGCTGGTGTGACCGCAGCCTCGGCTTTTGACTTTGCGAACTAACAGGAAGCAGGCTGTCTTTTTTTGTTGCCCATTTTGTGCGGGAGCTTGTAAGGAGTATTAGAATCTGCCTTCTGTTGTAGCAAAACATATTGAGTAGATATTAGCATTAGAACAGTGGTAAACTATTTGGCTCAGATGTCTTAACTGCTGTTTGAAAAGGTGGCTGCAAAGCTTGGACTAATCTCTGGCAGGGAATTTTCAGGTTTCACTTCCTAAATCTTAGCAAAGACAATGCTGCTTTGTCAGCTGTCAGATGAAGGAAATGAATTAAAACGCTGATTGTATGCATGTAAAAATGAGAGAGTGTTGTACTTGACCTTTTACAAATGCAAAACAGGAGCAAGATTCCCAGGGTGGTTATAACTACAGCAAGAAGTAAGAGCGTTGGATGGAATGACGTGGGATCAGTGCCTAAGAAAAGAATGTGTTACTACAATATATATTATTCATTCATTCCTATATTTACTTGTATTCAGTTTTCCTAGTAACAGCACTCAAAGAAAGTCACAACATATCAAGTCACCATTACTATGACAATAATCTTTCACAAATGTTAGGAACAATTACAAGCAAGCATTATATCAATAGATAGATGCATAATAACATATCAAAGAATACTCATTTTATTTTGTATGATCAAGTCAAAACTTCCAGAGTTTTCCAAATGCAAAATACTCATATTAAGTTTACCAGTCTTTCCTTCTGGTGGAACTCTGGGAATATTCAGCTTGTCCAAAGCAAGGCACGTTACCCCATCAAGCACACACATTCTGGGTAAAATAGTGTCTTTCAGAAGGCACAGTGTGGCTTTGAACTACCAGATGAAATGATTCGTAACCTTACTATTTAATGAAACTAGAGAGAAAGTATAGAGTAACATAGATATAAAGATACACTAGAAATGGGACCAAATAGATCATTATAGTCTACTGTGTCCAGTAATGACACTGGCTAGTTGTATCATCACAATGATTGCATCTTTTAGAATTAATAGCAAATTCATTTCTCTAAACTATTTAAACATTAATTCTGAAAACCCAGAACATTACCCAATTTATCAGGATGTTCCCTGGTCTGAGAACACAATCCTCAGTAATCTTGCTTTGATCTATATTTATTCAAAGTGGAAGTTGTTAAGGTCCTTTTCTCAGTTATTTCTGCTCTTATTGTATTCAACACGTGGCCTGAGAGTGTGATCACTCTTTGGAAAATGTAGAAAGAAAGATAGCAATAATCTCACCAAATTCGATTGGTTCACTCCATTCGCCAAATTTTCCTGCAACCGGACACTTACTCTTGTCATCTGTACGGATTCTCAACTTGTACCTCACATTCTTAGGGTAGTTTTTGGAGGTGCTTTGTATCTAAAAGCAGAGTATTTATTTGAGTTCTTTGCTGGGGAAATTAAAATTGATATCGAATCACTTGCATGCAAATTTTATTTTACTTGTTTTGGTGTAATTCTCCATCCATAGACATAGTTGCTGAAATCCGGTAGTGAGGCTGCAGCTACATGGTCAAATATTGCAAGATTTGCTCCACTTATAAAGCAGGTAAATTACTGACCACCTGAAGCAAAGGCTGATGCAAATCATAATGATTTTTGCTCCATGAGCAGCTTCCCCGCCCCCCGTTGATGTTTTTTCAAGTCTTACATATACGAGATTAGCACTAGATTACATATCATCTTATTGCTGAGTCCTTATGATTATTATTTCCTGTATTTTTGCCCCATAAAAGCATCAGCGGAGGCAGAACTAAAGAAAGGAAGGATTAACAGAAGAAGCAGGACCAGAGAAAGAAAGGAAAGAACGGGGGCTGTGAGCTGGAATGCAAATTGTTTTATATCCAGTATGAATGTGAACTCCTGAATCAGTCCATAGCCCCTGTGTGAGCTCTGATAGCAGTTTTAAATGTAATAAGGGCTGCAAATCAAATCATTTCCAGTATGGTCACACCTTAAATCACAACTACAGTAGACCTATTGAATTTGTGGGGATTTGATGAGTCAACACCTATGTACCTACTCTAGTTGGGACTTACTCTTGGATTTCAGTTACTATATAGTTCCTTAGCTTCTAATCTTTATTATATTCTTGAACAGAGAAAAGCAAAAGTCACACTTCCAGATGTTGCTCAACAGCAACTCCCAGCATGCCTCACAATCATCTAGGACTACTGGGAATTGCAGTGGAGCAACATCTGGGGGAGAGCTGCACTGTGTCTGTCTCAACTATGTAGCATGATCACGGAATGCAATCCAGAATGGACCTATGCAGATGAGATCAAAGTACAGTAGATCTCTAAGCTCTTCCTCCTAAGGGACCACTTAAGAGGGGGCCATGTCAAGGGTTACTATTTGAAAAAGGCAAAATCCTTCCTTTCCTCCAGACAGCTGGTGGAATGAAGAGCAGTTTTTTGTCATCACCCTATGGGAGAATGCCTTCCAGCTGCTCTTCTCTCCTGTAGGAAATGCTGGCAGTGTAGTTGTGCTTTGAATCTGGGCTCAGCAAGCAGGAATCCTACATACATATGGATTCTATGTACAGAACAGAAGCAGAGTGAGTGTGGTTGGTTGGTTGGCTGAACTTTTACATTGCCCAATTAGTTCAGGGCACTACTCTGGGTGGTTAACAACACAAATAATACAACACAACAACAACAAAGGACTTACTATAAAGTTAAATCAATAAACATTTTAAAAATAAATCAGTCAATATCAAACAATAGATGGGCGGGCAAAGACAATTTGGCAGTCATCATAAGGTAAAGGTAAAGGGTAAAGGTTCCCCTCGACAATTTTTGTCCAGTCATGTTCGACCCTAGGGGGCGGTGCTCATCCCCGTTTCCTAGCCATAGAGCCAGCGTTTGTCCGAAGACAGTTTCTGTGGTCACGTGGCCAGTGCGACTTAGACACGGAACACTGTTACCTTCCCACCGAGGTGGTCCCTATTTATCTACTCGCATTTGCATGCTTTCGAACCGCTAGGTTGGCGGGAGCTGAGACAAGCGGCAGGCGCTCACTCCGTCACGTGGATTCGATCTTACAGCTGAAGATCTCCAGACCTTACAGCACAGAGGCTTCTGCAGTTTAACCCACAGTGCCACCACGTCCCTCTGGTCATCATAAGAGGATGCCCCAATGTCCAACAGTTCCTATGATACATGGGTTCTCACCTTTCCGTTCCCACTGGCTAACTTTAAGATGGGATTTTCTATTAGCATTTAAATCAGGGGTGGACAGCTGGTGGCCATCCAAATAAAGCCTTCGTTTAAAGAAAGTATAAAGGTTTTAATGATTTGGGGTCTCTGAATGATTTCAAGATTGACTGGTACTGCTGGACAATTTGGTTGATTGGTTGACTTGATTCCACACTGCTCATTCTACACACACACACCAACACTGCATTTTTATTTGTCATAGTTTTCAATTGCACTTTACTTTTTAATTGTACATTGCCTATGGCAGATATAAAGCTAACAGCATAACAGATATGATGCTTAAATGCAGTGCACATTACAGATGTCAGATAACAATACTTACAGTATCAGTTGTATTTCTGATTTCATCCTAAGAAATAAAAGGAAGTTAAATTTTTAGTTAGTACTGATATAAAACTTTCTATTTTCTCACACGGCAATTTTGTTCACCAATGTAGGCTTACACCTTAATGGCCAAGGAAAGTAAAAGTCACCAGCAGCAATTGATAAGGGCCAGGGGAAGAAGGGAAGAGGTTTGAGTTCCTTATAGATGAAACCAAGCCCCCCAAATCTGCATCCTTTAGAAATCAGATTGGTCTCGGGTCTTTTGTCAAAGTGTGCCTATGTCTCCAATGCTGAGGAGCCAGGCCGTTTCCCGCAGTGCATCTCTTTGTCACGTCCCGAGAGGCTATCTTTTATTGATCAGTTCCACACTATAGCACCGGTCAATCTTCACCATAGCCTGTGACCTCTTCAGGCTCCACCCTATTGTTGATTATTTCATAGCAATAACATTAATGCCAAAATCCTGTTGAAACTTCAAGGTGTGCAAGGTTAATTACATAAATGGTTTGCCCCATTGTCACACAACATATATCTTGCCAGATGGTGCAAGCATGTTGTGTGGTTAATATTTTGCACATAGATATTTCTATGGGATCTTGATCAAGGTTTTTCCTACTTGTTTTACACAGCTTGGCCTAGCCGCAGTAGACCATGTGAATTTACATATCTTTTTGCTACAGATCCCTTCTTTCCTAATGTCGACCTCAAACCCTCTAGCCTTCCCTGCATCTCAGTGATGTCTCCCTGGATTAGGTAAAGGTAAAGGTTCCCCTTGACATTTCAGTCAGTCGTGTTCGACTCTAGGGGGTGGTGCTCATCCCGTTTCCAAGCCGTAGAGCCAGCATTTGTCCGAAGACAGTTTCTGTTGTCACGTGGCCAGCGTGACTTAGATTCGGAACAATGTTTACCTTCCCACCGAGATGGTACCTATTTATCTACTCGCATTTACATGCTTTCGAACTGCTAGGTTGGTGAGGAGCTGGGACAAAGCAACAGGAGCTCACTCCGTCATGTGGATTCGATCTTACGACTGCTGGTCTTCTGACCCTGCAGCACACAGAGGCTTCTGCGGTTTAGCCCGCAGCGCTAAATCCTCCCTGGATTAGCAGGAGGCAAAAAAATTAAAAGCTTTACCGCAGGAAATGGCTTGTGCTTGGTGAAGAGCCCCCCTGTTCAAGGATTCTGTGGGGCACAGCCTTTGTTATTCCTTATGGAGACATGGGGTAGCAATTTTTCAAAGTCAGAAATGTAATTTTAATATGGGTCTCATTCTTTGCAGGGAAGCTTCAAAAGGCTGCCAGCAAAGGCTGTTCAACAAACAAAAATGATTTGGTCTCTTGCCTTTATTTGATAACTGAGGCAGCTGTTGGACTCGCGAACCTCACGGCGACTCGTTGGAGGGGCTTTCCATTCTACTATACAGTTGGATGACATTTCACAAGTCACAGTGATATTTTGTGGTGGACCAATTTTTTCTGGAAGAAAATTACAAGTATGGTGATTGATATAGGAAGACCTATGAAGCTTTATAGACATTTGAGTAGTGCGTCCTCTTCTTCACCAACACTGGAGAATCTCCTGTGTTGCTAAGGATCCATGGCTGTGGGCAATTATTTATTTCAGTGCAACTTATACAAGTTTTAAAAGAAGGGCCCAAGTAGTTGTCAGTTCTTTCAATAGATTTGCACTCTGAAAGGATAAAATACCAGAAGATGGGAGCAGCTTTATTGATTAGTGAACCGTTGGGAAGACTACTGCTTTATGTCCTTTTTGCGTATATGCAGTGGTGCAGATGGGAGCAGCTTTATTGATTAGTGAACCATTGGGAATACTACTGCTTTATGTCCTTTTTGTGTATATACAGTGGTGCCCCGCATAGCAAGGTTAATCCTTTCCAGATTAACCATCGCTATTCAGAAACATCGCTGAACGGAATAGAAAAACCCATAGCGCAGGAAAACATCGCTAAATGGAATAGAAAAACCCAATGGACCCCAAACTCACCGTTCAGCGATGTTCCTCCATAGCGCAGGCATTTTCGCGCCCTCGGTAAGCGAGGGCAGGGCGCGAAAATGCTGCATGCGGGCCGTTTTGGGTCTTCCAGCAGCCATTTTGGAACCTCCAATCAGCTGTTCCCCTGAAACGCTTACCAATCATCACAAGCGAATTTTGCCCATTGGAACTATCGGTATGTGATCGCATTAGCAATCCCAAAAAACGGATCGCTATGCGAATTCGTCGTTAAACGTTATGCGAGGCACCACTGTACTTGCAAATAAAAGGATGAGGGGTCTCGCACTCGTTATGCGAGGCACCACTGTACTGACAAATAAAAGGGTGAGGAATCTTCTTTTAAATGGCTTCAGAACATGTACATTCTCATACCATGGAGAGAGTTTTAGCACTGGTCCATTATTAGCCAAGTTCTTTACAAGATATAAGACAATTTCTATTATTCTATTGTCTTTAGATGTAAAAAACAGACATTCTTGCTGTTACATGCTGTCAAGTTGGAACCAAGTTATAGTGACTGTAATTGGGCTTTCAAGGTAGGTGAGATATTTTAGGAGTGGTTTTACCAGTTCCATTCCTCTGTGAGTTTCCATGGCTGAGTGAGGATTAAAACTATAGTCTCCAAAATCCTAGTCCTTCACTCTGTCAACTACACAACACTGGACATCTAAAAAAAACAGAAACAGTAAATGCCCCATCCACCCTTTCTTACCAAGTTCATATAATAAAGTTATATTTTTGTGCTTCTTAACTGGAGATTCTATGCTCGACCCATTCACTGTTAAAGTAACTTTCTTTTCATTCACAGTCACGTTGGGAAAATAGCACCCAATATGTCTTCCACGTTTATCAGGTATATAATGTGGACACTCCTTTTCTTCTTCCCTGAGTATGCCAAAATATTCCATTAAAAAAAATTAAACATGTTGAAAATCAATTTTTCTTAATTTAATCAATAAAAATGAATTACTTATAATATTTTAAATATAGAAAATATTGAGTATCATGGGGAGCTGTCCTGCCAGCATTCCAAGTACAGTTCATTGAAGGAGCCTTCAAAGTGTATGAATAAACAGCACAGGAGAAATTTGCAGCTTCTGTTCCATCAACATCTGGAAATAAACAGGAAATAGCATTTGAATTGGTCCAGAAACAACACCTTTTTGTTAAGAAGTTCAGTCCTTGCTCCAGCACACTTCTGGTGTGTAATCATTCTCATACTATTGTTAAATATGCTTTCTGCCTGCCTGGGGGGAACCTGTGTCCACTCAGTGCCATAGTCATTCTGCTGAATTCATTTACTTGGCTACCAATTATAAGGCCCCTGCAGTGTATGCATTCATGTACAGAGTTAAACTTGGATACGTTTGCCATATTTCAGTGCTCCAAATCTGACCAGCCTAATATGCATAATCATGTAACGAGGCTCACGTGAGCTCAGTGGTCCATAAAGCCTGGGGTCAGCTTTTACTAGTCCACCACTATGACCATTCCTGGGCAGAGATAACGTGGCCATAATAGTCCATGCCCTGGTAACTTCCTGGTTAGACTATTGCAATGCACTGCACTTGGGTCTGTCCTTGAACACAGATGCTGCAGCAAGTGCAGTACGCAGGAGCTAGACTGCTAACAGATATATCCTTTAGAACCCCTATGACACCACTTCTGAAGGATTTGCACTGGCTGTCAATACACTTCCAATCTGAGTTCAAAATGTTGATGATGCCTTATAAAGACCTTAAATGGCTTGAGGCCTGGATATTTGAAGGTGTGCATTTCTATATATAAACCTGCCTGGTCACTAAGATCTAGGGAGGCCCTCCTCTGTGTCTCACCATTATCACAGGTCTTAGAACTGCAGAGCTGAAAGAGACCCGATGGATCATCTAGTCCAGCCCCTGTCAAGGAGGCTTAGTGGGGAATCAAACTCCCAACCCCTGGCTACGGTTGAGGCCTGGATATTTGAAGGTGTGCATTTCTATATATAAACCTGCCTGGTCACTAAGATCTAGGGAGGCCCTCCTCTGTGTCTCACCATTATCACAGGTCTTAGAACTGCAGAGCTGAAAGAGACCCGATGGATCATCTAGTCCAGCCCCTGTCAAGGAGGCTTAGTGGGGAATCAAACTCCCAATCCCTGGCTCCGTAGCCAGATGTTTAAACCACTGAGTTATCCAGCAGTTCATTGAGAACAGTTCAATATGTGAAAACTTTTTTTTCTGTAGAACCCAACTGTGGAATGCCCCCCACTTCAATACTGACATTGGCACCATTTCAGCACCAAGTCAAGAGGAAGTATTCATTCAGAGCCTTTGGGGGTTGACTATTGTAGCCTGAGCAAGTTTTAGTGGGTTTTTAAAATATGTTTTATTGAGTGTTTTAATTTTGTGTTGTTTGATTTTAAATTATTTAAACATCTTGTTTTTAAATTATTTTATACAGTTTTGTAACCTGCCCTGAGATCCTATGATATATGGTGGGCTAGAAATGTTTAAATAAAAATAATAAAATAAATATCAGTGCAGATTAGGTGCATCAATGGTTGCCATTTCTTTTCCTGTCTTTCATCTTTGGCACTGTTATATAGTCAACACTGATCTGAGAAAGCCAGTATAATGCAAACATTTAGAGTGGTGGATTTAGAACAGGGCGCACCAAGTTTAAATCTCTGCTTGGTCACAAAGCTTCCTTAGGCCAGTCAAGGTCCTTTGCCAAGCCTACTTTACAGGGCTGTGGGCGTAAATGGGGAGATGGCAAACTTTTTTTTTCATCTATTAATTGAAATCAAAAGTTTTCACCTTGCTTTTTGTATGTCTGTTACATGGCAGGTCAATGGGCATGTAGCTGCTAGAAAACTAGAAAACCCAGAATTCTAGTTTTAGCCCACACATGCACACTAACAAACACCTGCATTTTGCTCACCTGAACCAGCAGGGCCTTCTCTGACTTTTGCTTCCAATTCTGAATGTAGGAAAAAGGAAATTGCTGTGTCTTGTAGGAGCTGTAGACTCACCGCCCACTAGGCTCTATAGATGGTGTTTCCTGAAGAAATACAACTTCCAAGAAGTATCACGGCACCTGCCTTCCTGCTCCCCTTCAAATTAACAACAGGAAGTAAAACCCAAAGAAGGCCATGCAGCCTTGGAGGCTGGCCCTACTCCAGGTGAGCAAAATGTAAACATAAGTGATGGAGTTGGGAGTCCAAAAAACCAAAAGCACACACTTCTGGCAGAGTCATCCAAACAGAGCAGAAACAAACACTCAAACTGAAGTAAATAACCGCCATCCCACTATGAATTTGTGGAGGGGTTTCAAAAAATTATTCCCACTCATTATGCATAAGAATGAACTATATCTAGCAGACTAACAGTGTCATCCTATCCTCAGCTTTATCTCATGAGTCAGGAATGGTTGCTAAGGGTGTCCTGCAGTAGTTCAGCCCTCTGCTTGGTCTCCAGAGCCACTGATGCAAGACTACCAGTGATCCAGTTAGCATAAGTGATCCCCTTATAAAAGGGGGGGGGGACAAATCACTGTAAAATTGGAAGGCACTCCTAGGTTCTCATAGTATTACACTGCAAACCATTGTGGAAATGCAGACTTACCCTCTTCTTCTGTAAATGCAACCTTTAGTATGGGGTACAACACAACGAGCCAGCTCAAAAAAGCACATCTTAAGGAGTGTGTCATATTATTTGTCTGCATAAATAGTCAGTGAGAAGTCCTAAAATGAAAGAGAAACTTTATTTAGCCATGTTCTGTACAAATCCCTCAGGCTCTATACTTTTTTTTTGAAAGCAATTCCTTCTTTTCATTTTTAAACTGGACTTATAAGATAGTTTTCAGCAGTCATCTCATACCATCATTTCAAGAATTCTTTGGGAAACCCATGATAGCTAAACTAGTACAGTAGTGCCCCAGTTTACGAATGCCCCGGTTAACGTAATTTTTGGTTTACAAAAGGTAATCCATTGAAAATAATGCCTCAGTTTACGATTTTTTCCCCCACAGTATGAAGCAAGTTTCCACAGGACGCATTGTGCCTGGAGGTTTATACACTAGTGCAGCCTCCATTCCTATGGCAAACCACGTTTCAGTTTATTAATCTTTTGCATTACGCAATGTCCCAGAGAATGCATTAAATTTGTAAACCGAGGTACGCCTGTATTAAAAGTCAGCAATACTGGTCAGAAGATGACACTTATATGAGGCATATAAAGCACATAAAGCATGAGTGGAGAACCCTCTTGGTCCCAGGGCCAGATGACATCAAAGGAGTGCAGTTTGAACCTTTCTGCTCCTTTGACATCTTGTTCAGACCAATGGTAGGAGCCCATCAGTACAGCTATAACGAGAAATGTTGTTGTTAGGGGCTATTGGCTAAGCCAAAGTCATGGAAGACTGACATGTATGAGGAGAAGACAGAAGACCAGAGAGAAACAACTGAGTTCAGTTGCATGTGAAGCAAGTCATGGAAGACTGACATGTATGAGGAGAGGATAGAAGACCAGAAACAACTGAGTGTGAGCATGTGATGGCGATATTAGTTCTTGTTTAAGTTTTTACAACCTCGCATGCTGCCTAGAGAAGGTGTCACCAGGAGAGACTTTTCTGGGCTTGGGTGTCTTATCAATCTACCCAGCACTAACCAATAGTTCCCTTCTGCTTCTGAATTCAAAGAGATCCCCTCTTTTCTTCTCAGTGTACTCTTCCTCACTTTGGTCTGTTGGAAGCACTCGTCTGTTGAGGCCTGTTGCTGGAACCAGTCATCCTTGTCAGTTTGCTGACTTGATTTGTGCAGTTCTAAGTAATGAAAATATTTAAATCTTTCTTTTACTAATTTATCAAATGGTTGAGACTGTAAGTGCCAGTTGATGAGAAAAAGAGGTGGACTATGCTGGGGAACTTTTTCTCTGTGAATTCCTGCAATTCTGCTGCTCAGCTAGAGGAATTTAACCAGAAATTCAAAACTCTGCAACAGTCCTATGCTAAGCCTATCTGTTTTGTGTTTCATTTTGCAAGAAGAGAAGAAGCTGAAAGAGGTATATGTCCTCAGGGTGTGCGAGTTCACACCCTTCCAGCAGCAAAGCCTTGGTCACGTCACCCTAGCTGTAGTTCTGTCCACAGGCTGAACATTGCAGTCCTTGGGAGAGGTCTCAGTGAACAACTCACTTTAATAAGGTCTAAAGCCCAGTAAGACTTTTACTCCTTTTCTACCAAACTACTCCTCTCAAACTCTACTCCTTCTCACAAACAGGTGACAAGTTTTGGTATGAAACCTTGAGCTTCTCAATCTCTTCAGCAGTTCACTCTGGGCATGTTGCTAGCTTCAACTCACCATCTCCAGTGATTGTGGAACCCTTAGAAAAGATGGTCTTGTCCTATCCAGCTGCAGGAGCTAAGCTCAGAGGCCACTGATGCTAGTCCAACTCCTGGATCACAGGGTCAAGGGCCTTGAGCTCAGGAGTCTCCAGTTTTTCGGTTTCAATGATCAATGGCTCCTGAGTGATGTTTGGGTCAGATAACTCCCCTGATAGAACAAGCGCTTTCTCAGTCTCTGAATCCCATAGCCAGGATATTTCTGGGTATCAAATTGTTTGGCCCCTTCAATGCCCATTTTTAGTTTCTTCATACAAAGAGTTCCACACCTCTCAGCTTGGGGGAAAAATCCTTGTGTAACCCCTGCCTGTGCACTGGATGGCAAAAGGTATGTGCAGGAAATCGGTGTGTTGTCTTTGATCACTGCTATGAGAATACTGTACATGAGATGTTCTGCTGGAGGGAGAGGCCTTCTCTAAACCATTCATGAACCAGATTTAGAATGTCTGCAGGCTGGAAATTCCCTTCTTCTGATATGGAGAAAACAGCATTTCAATATTGGAATTATTGCAGAGTAGATAAGATTTGTTTATATATACTTGGCAGTAATTCCAGTGTTCTGCTTAGCTTTTTTCTTGACTTTCTGTTCCTTTTTTCACTTTATGTCCCATCTACTTTTAGCATTTACTGTTTCTCTTCCTTCATATCAGCTGATAAAAAACCTGATATTTACAGCTTTGTACATGGAAATATTTATCAGCAACTAGAATCCAACTGAAAACATGCAGGTGTAATTCCAACAGCACAAATTTCAAAGGGAAAATGCCCCAAATTAAGATTTTTTTTCTCTCCCTCATGCCCTGAGTCACTGTGTAATAACAATTCCCTACATTAATTTACCAACTTCGAGCAATTTGCTGAGATTTTCACCAAATCACGAGAGGATTTTGGCTATTGAAATTAAAGAACTGAAATTAAAGAATTGAGATAAATAGAAATGGTCCCTAACCTGCAGTACAATTACCACACAGAATTCTATATCTCTTTGCCATTGTCTTATTCTATGAGTCTAATTTGTCCATCACAAATGCTTGACAATTGGGATAACAGATTTATCATTTCCAGCTTAAAACTTTTAAAATATATTTTAATATTTTAATTGATGCGGAAGCTTCAAATGGTGCAGAATGCAGCCGCCAGAAATCTCTCAGGGGTGAGAAAATATCAGCATATTTCCCCCACTCTTGCTTGCCTGTTCATTTCCAGATTGATTTCAAAGTGTTAATGATGACATATAAAGCCCTAAACAGTTTAGGACCTCGATATCTAGTGGAACGTCTCCTCCCACCTAGGTCTATCTGAATCACTAGTTCTAGCCAGGAAGGGCGACTGAAGGGCATAATGCTGAGGGAGGCCCGAAGAGAAAGAACAAAAAATGGGGCCTTCTCGGCAATGGCCCCTCACCTCTGGAACAATCTGCCTGCAGATATCTGTCTGGCTCCCTCACTGGGTGTTTCTAAGAGCAAACTTAAGACCTGGCTCTTTAAGCAGGCTTTCCCTTCTGTCATCACCTAATTACTTTTGCCATATTGAATTATAGTATTACTGTTGTCTTTATGTTATTATATTGTTTTTACTTTTATGTATTATTGTTAGCTGCTGAGAGAAGACTTTGGTCTAGATGGGCGGGGTACAAGTTGAATGAATGAATGAATAATATTTAAAAACTGTTTTACAGTAACCACAAACAGCTACAGAGCTATAAACACACACACATACCTATAAAAGAACAGTACAGTTGCAATAAACACCCACACTACATTTTCAATATAAGGAAACCACACTATTCAGTACAGGAAGAGACATTACAGATAATCCTGTATGTCTCTTCCTGTATTGACAGGAATCCTCGAGAGATGTAAATGAGAGAGTCTTCCATGTGTGAGAAATCAAGCTTCAAAACAACCCCATGTTTAAGTCCATTAAGAAAATGAAGCAAGCTAAGTTGCAAATTCTGGGAAGTGAGCTAAGCTCCTGTTGTGACACTCCCATATATTATCCACCTTTTTGAGGTTTTGTCTTCTAACTACAATCAAGAGTCTTTGTTTCTGCCCTAACTCTCTCCCCCATTCCTTCACTGGTGGTGAAATGGTGGCACCCGAATGGACCTAACTGCTTATATTCATTACACTCCTGAGGTTTTTCTCCCCCTAGGCAAGCTTGAATGGCAAAATATGGAAGAGGGGAGGGGGAGGAATATTGTAGCCAGTAGCTTATGTTTCTCCTCCACTCCCCATCAAAATGTGTGATATTTGGGTAAAAAAAGAAGGGTGAGTGGGAAATTGTTCTTACCTCTTTTTTTCCCTTATTATTATCAGGGTTCGAAGAAGCTGAAGAATGGTGGCAAATGCAGCAATGCAATTGTGAAGTCAGCTTCTCTTGAAAAATCAGATGTTCCTTTTATATATTGTTCTTACAAAGAGTGTTGCCTCCAAGTTCCTTCTTTCACTTCTACTTCCAGTAAACAGAGAAAATTTTAAAAACAAAGTGCTTCCCCCATCTCCTGGCAGGTTTTAGTTATGTTTTGTGTTTCTGGGAATCAGTATCCCTGTGAGGAAGACATGGATGAGGATGGAGCATAGGGAGAAGCATGGTCTGTTTCATACATTACCAGCCTCAAGAAGTAGGCTTGCAACCAACATGTGACTCTAGATATGACTCTCTTGCAACTTGTCATCTCCCTCAGCTACACAGGAGCATGAAGCAACGGAAACAGCCAAGGATGTGCGCTTAGTATCCTTTACAAGTTATATTGTCCATTCTGATTACTCAGAGTGGGTAATGCCTTTTCTGTGATGCCTCTGCTACAGCATTTGCACATTATCTAAAAATGTAGGAAGTAGTGCCTCTGTGTGTGTATGTGCGCGCGCGCGCACGCATATGAGTGTTTTAGCACATGCAAATTAATGCAAAAATAATGCCTGGATTAATCAGTCTATATAAAGCACTTTTCTGTCTGTCTGTCTATTTGTTACCGTAACACATGAAAACAGCTGGATGGATTTTCAGCAAATTTGGAAGATAAGTTCGGAATGGTCTGACTTGAAAGATAGGTTACGTGGACCCTTAGTTTCTCATAAATGAAGGTGTGGATTTTACCAAATTTGGATGGTTATTAATTTACAACTTTTTATGCTGTCTAAAGGGACGTGGTGGCGCTGTGGGCTAAACCGCAGAAGCCTGTGCTGCAGGGTCAGAAGACCAAGCAGTCGTAAGATTGAATCCACGTGACGGAGTGAGCGTCCGTCACTTGTCCCAGCTCCCACCAACCTAGAGGCTCGAAAGCATGCAAATGCGAGTAGATTAATAGGGACCACCTCGGTGGGAAGGTAACAGCGTTCCGTGTCTAAGTCGCACTGGCCATGTGACCACGGAAGATTGTCTTCGGACAAAACGCTGGCTCTATAAATAGCCTATATTATTTGTTCAACCTACCAATGCAGAATGCAGGAAACAACAAGCTAATGAAATGGGAGTGGAAGGAGCAAAGGCTAGACTTCCATCAACGAATGCAGGAAACAACAAGCTAATGAAATGAGAGTGGAAGGAGCAAAGGCTAGACTTCCCTCAACAATATCAAAATACGCTAGATTGGAACTAGAGTTGTATCCAACAATAAATAAATAAATAAAATAAACAATATCAAAATATGCTAGATTGGAACTAGAATTGTATCCAAATTCTCCATCTTATTTGTAGGCAACAAATTGTGGCACGGCAGAGGAGACAATGTCCTTCAACTGCTTGGGAAGCTCAAAAAAGAAATTTGTCTGAGTATGACAATTGGAGGGAAATTCAGCAGGGCTTCTTGTCATATTGTTACTCACAATTGCCTCACAAAAGCAGACATTTCCTTTCTGCAATGCCAAGCACATTCTTACAGCCAAATAAGGACTGCAGCTTGTGGACTGCTCTTCACTGACAGAGAGGTTGGTTTGTATTTTCTGAGGAACGTGTGAGTTGGAATTTCTGAGGAAAAAAACAGCAGCTCTGAAGAAACTCATGCAGCAGGTCCATCAACAAAGGAAACAGTTCAAAAGAACGCTGAAGGCTATCATATGTTGCTCTAGCCCTCCCAACAATCGAATGAGGAAGTTTTGAAAACCCGAGAAGCTCAGAATATGAATATGAAAGGTTATTTCTTTTGGAATACAGCTTTGTGTACCTAGTGACCATGGTGGCTGAGACACTAGGATTTATGCTATCGAAAAACAAACAAGGGTTATTTCTTTTGGACTACAGCTTTGTGTACCTAGTGACCATGGTGGCTGAGACACTAGGATTTATGCTATCAAAAAAACAACAACAACAAATAAACAACTACAAAACTGTTCCTCTCTCTGAGTTAGAAACTTCACAATGAAGTCAACTTCATTGTTGACTATCAACAATGTGGCACAGAAGCCCAGCTGGAAAATACTGCTTTAGGAGGAAATGACAAGGTCTAAGGAGTGGAAGGACTTGGAGTATGTGTAGTTACAGTCAAGAAGAAAGGTGTTAGAAAACATATTTGCCCAGGGATGAATCAACAGAGTCGAGAATCAGAAGGCAGGTGAAAAACCTGAGGAGTAAAAAGCGCTCACGAGAAAAGAATCCACAGGTTAGGATGACAGGCTAACATTATCCCATTCCTTGAGAGACCAAGGCTAGAATGTAAGACTGGCAGGGTGAATCTTTGTAACATCACAAAGCCAATCTCTTATAATATCACAGGATGGATCCTTATAATCTCACAGAGGCAGGGCAGGTAAGGGTTGGCAGTGAAGCAAACATGACACACTCCCAAACATCTTTCTCCTGAGCCAGATGGGAATGGCTGGAGATGAGCGTCCAGGCTTTAAACACACATCACACACAGGGCCTGTCCAGATTGGCTATTGTGGACGTTGGGTGGATTGGGCTACAAAGGGTCTGTTGAGGTCGGGGGGAATGCTCCTTACATCCGAACCACATATGACCCCTTGTAGTCTGATCAGCTGTTGAGCACTTACCCTGATTATCTATGGAGGGTCAGGGAAAGTGAAATTACTATTATTTACACGTTGCTCCTCTCTCCCTCTATCACTGCTGTTCCATTCTCCCTTCCCCCCTCCCTGCTTCCCTTCCCTTGTCCCCTGCACCATACTTTCTTTTTCCTCTCTCAGAATCTGCAGCCAAGATGGCCATTCTCCCTTCCCCCCTCCCTGCTTCCCGTCCCTTGTCCTCTGCACCATACTTTCTTTTTCCTCTCTCAGAATCTGCAGCCAAGATGGCAGAGGCTGCTGGAGGCCGCTATCCCCAGGCTAAATAACAAGCATGCCAAAAGAATGCATGCCCTACTACTGGGCCAGAAAGGTGTGTGACATCTCTTAAAGGAGAAGGGTAGATTGTTCAAAGTGGAAACACTTGGGAACGAAGTCTCTCTCTCTCTCTCTCTCTTTAATCCAAAGGGTGCCCTCAGTGATCCATATGCCAGATCTACATGGCAGTGTCGACAGGCCCACAGTAACTACTTCCCTTCCCCTTCCCCTTCTTCCCCTTCTTCCCCTTCTTCCCCTTCCCTCCTTCCCTCCTTCCCTCCTTCCCTCCTTCCTTCCTTCCTTCCTTCCTTCCTTCCTTCCTTCCAACTCCTAGAATTCTGCAAGAATTCCCCAAGCAGAATTCTGGGATTTCCAGCCCATAGGCACACATCGACACACACATTTCATTCACCTAGAATGTGTCCTGTATTCTAAACTATCTCAGGCCTGTTTCCTATATAGAATGGAAACTGCCCAGGGCTTCCTGAGAGGCCCAAGTCATTTTGTAAGAGTTGTGGTATGGAACTTAACTGGCAGCAAGACTACACCCACAAAGATGTAGGCCTCCCGGGAAGTACTGGGGCAGTTTCCTTTTTATACAGGAAATAGGTCTGAGACAGCTCAGAATATAGGCCCTAATTCTAAAGTGTTTTTGTCTTATTTAAAAAGCATAAAATCCTGAAGGCAGTGTCAGACAAATGTGATCTTAGAGTTTCAGATACCTGAGGGCTGAGTTGGTTAATGAAGGGAAGGTCATGTAATATTTCCATGCTAAGCAGCAATTTTCATTATTTCTATGAATGATTCTTCTACACAAGGTAAAAAAAATCCAATCCATTTCCTCACTCTTGGAGTCCAGTGTTTAGTGGGGTTCACATCCAGTCTGCAATTTAAAAGGCTGTTTCTCATGTTTGAATATAGAGCCCCCCCTCTCTCTCTGTATGTGTGTGTGTGTGTGTGTGTGTGTGTGTGTGATCACCCAAAAGTTAATTTAAAAAATGTGGCTAGGATGATCTGATTTAGGCAATGAACCTCCACCAGAAACACCATAGTGCTAAACTCTTTCTGGAACCAGGTGAGATTTAAAATGAACCATGCCTCCAGGAGGGACAGAAAGGCATGGAGAGTCATGGACATTTTCAGTATACTAACTGAAACAAGGGGGGGGGGAATCATATGAATGACAAGAAAAAAACCAACAGTAACAGCTATGCAAATTCAAGTGTGTTTCCAGAGAACAAATGTGTCACTTGGAAGTACTCTAAGTCTGAAACATACACATTGCAGGTATTCTTGGATAGTCTAGGTCCATTTCAATTAGGGTTTAGATTGCATCACATCCTGAAACAGCATTATTTTTTTTTTCTGCACAACCATTTCCTAAGGGAGGTTGATGGGGGAGTGTGACTTTGTTGGTGCTCCTGGATCTTTCTGTAGCCTCTGATACCTTCAACCATAGTATCCTTCTAGGAAACCCTATTGAGTTTAGGGTTCTGGAGCACTGTTCTTCACTAGTACACCTTGGGAATGCTGTCTCAGCCCCATGGGACCTCCATTAAGAGTCCCACAGAGATCGCTTATCTCCCAATGTTTTTTAATATCTATATGAAGCCACTAGGAGAAGTCATTCCATTCTGGAGTACACTGTCGCTGGTGACATACAGCTCTATCTCTCCTTTGCAGAGGATGAGGCTTGAGTCCTTGAGGGCTCCTGGTGTTGATACTGGACTGGACGAGAGCCAAAAGATTGAAACTGAATCCAAATAAGATGGAGATTTTGTTGCTAGGAGGATAACCAGATCACTTAGATTCCACGGATAGGTTTACAATCTCTTGGCAGATTGGATCTGTAGCTTGGGGGTACTCCTAGACCCAGCACTCTCTATGGAGGCTCAAATATCAGCCATGGCCAGGAGTCCTTATCAATTTCAACTGATTGCCTAGTTGCACCTTTACCTGGATAGGAAGTGCTTAATAACACTGGTTCATGCATTGGTAGACTCAAAAATAGACTACTGCAACATTCCCTGGCCTTGAAAACAGTACAGAAACTTCAGCAGGTCAAAAAATGTGGCATCCAGACTGATTTCTGGGACTAAAAATTCAATCACATTTCGCCAGTCTTGCCCTGCCTACATTAGCTCCTTGTTTTGTTCTGTGATCAATTCATGATCTATAAAGCCCTCAATGGTTTAGAACCTCAATACTTGTCAGAATGCCTCTTCAAGATAACAGCTACCCGTTTGACATGCAGCTCCCAGTTCGCATGGTTAAACGTGGCCATACCAAGGGAAGTTTAAAAGGTGTACACTGTACAAGGAATTGGGCTTTCTTGGTGGTGGCCCCTATTCTGTGGAACAAGATTCCAGGAGCCATCCCTCCTGATA